TACATACATATTTACGTATTCACATGCATAAATGAGCAGTCAAAGTATAAAATCTTCTTTCACCTCATTTGCATCAATCTCATTATACCCAGTTTCAGTGAAACGAGATTTCCATGTTGAAAAAACTCTAAACATTTATACAATTTCCTATCGAACGTGTCAAAATATGCAATTGAAGTTACTGGTTGTACAAATAATTCCATCGGAAATATATGTATGTATGCATGATGTAGCCCAGATAACAGGTCGCTATGAATTCGCTTAGAGAATTCGCGTTAAAACAGAGAACTCGAATTCTCTCAGATTTCGTTATTATTCTCGTATCGAATTCGCATCGAATTCGGTAATTATTCGTACCTAAATTCGATATTACGCTCATTTCAGAATTCGTAACGAATTAGACTCGAATTCTCAGAGAATTCTTCTATCGAATTCGAAACGACTTCACTATGAATTCTTAAACGAATTCGCTGTTATTGTAGTTAGGAATTCTCCCCGATTTCGATAGGAATTCTTCTTACAGGAATAGGAGACTATATACTGTTCGCCTTAAATCTCGAATTCGTAAATAATCCTTAGAGAATTCACTGTGATTTCTCTCTTTCACGCTGTTATTATATTTTTAAGTAATTTTAGCTGCCACATTCAAATCTTTCCTCATGGGAAGGAGACGACTTTTTCAGTTGAGTGCTCGCCAAAAAAGAAGACTTGTAAAAAGACGAAGTGAAATTTTTGAGGAAAATTTAAATAGTGACCTAGTCCAGGCCGAAGGGGAAAACATTTATTTAGAACAAGTGTTCGAAGAAGATCTGGAAGAAATTGAAGTCGGAAGTAACACGAGTGAAGGAAGTTCAACTGAAACAATTAGCTCAGAAAGCGAAGGTGAAATTGATACTTTCGATATTACATATAGTATGCAAAATTGGTCCCTTGAATTTAAAATTCTTCATAATGCAATCTCATTATGCAACACTCTAAAACATTTTAAAAATATGTTAATCTCAGATGCGGTAGCAGCTCACCCTAGGACTCCAAATTTTCCAGACGAGGGCACAGTTGACGAAGAAATACACAAATCTCTTAAGAACGTCGCAGATAGAGTTGGGAAGCGTATGAGGTACAAATATATACAATCGATAATAACTGTTGGAAAAGATTTTAGAAATAACATTAGTATATTTTCAATAGGAAGTGACTTAACATCGCGGCCAATTTCACTACCAGGGTCATCTGATTATTCAACTTATGTTTATTTTAATGTAAACAGTTATGTATATTACATGATATTTAGAATAAATAAAATAAACTATAAGCTGGATTAACTCGAAATATAGGAGAAATCGTATCGATTTATTACTTAATTCGCAGTGAATTCGTATAGAAGTCGCATTAAATTCGTGGAGAAGTCGCATTGAATTCGTTTAGAAATCGTTATGAACTCCTACATATTCATCGAATTCAAGACGAAATCACGAAGACTTACCGGCGAAATCGATATACGATTCTCCATCGATTCTCTGTCGAATCGGCGGACATTTCCCTTCGATATCTCCTCGAATTTATCTCGAAAGTTGGAAATTCGAGGCGAATTCGATATCGATATCAAAGCGAATGTAATATCGAAACATAAGAGAATTCAGAGCGAATTGTTATCTGGGAAATATGCACATACATTACGCACTTACATATTACCCTGAACACTACTTGTTATACCAACTTAAGCAGCCTTGACTGACCCTTCTGTTGGTCGATACTCAGAATTCTATTCTCAATTTTGGGTTAAACTCGGGTGAAAATTCCGGGTTAAAAATATCTAAAATGTGACAGACGTGCAAAGAAGACGTTATCATGTTTTGACCGTAAGACATGTAATTTTATCCAACAATCTTTTCCAGATAATAAATACTACGAATAGCAATTTAGTACTCGAGAGATATGTATGAAGATGCTGACAAGGAGTAAAACTCCGGCCAGAACTACAGAGTAAGTGGATGCCCCTTCAAAGCCATACTGATTTGTCCAAGATTTCTTCCTTGCACAAGGATTTCTGTCGTTGCTTTGCTTAACCCCCGTCATATAACGACACGTTTTTATACTTTTTCAAAATTAAAAAAAAATTGTCCGTTTTGAAATAATATTTTATTCGCGTTTTAACTAGTGCGATTTGTAAAGTACATACATTCATAGGGTTAATCCTACCAGAAAATTTTACACTTTTTCATTGTGTGAAATTATTGATAGATAATTAAAGGTAAGCAATCATACGATGAGTAAGCTCAATAAGTATTTATTAAAAAATTGGCGACTTTTTGCCTGCATCCATTCCCAGTCTTCCTTAAAATCATTGCTTCATTAAAATTTAAGGTCTTCTTTAAAAGCTATGCAAGTTTAAATAGTTGATGTCAATATACATATACCTGTTTAATTAACAAATTTTTCACGATTTCATCATTTCATGTGTGTATGTATATATTTTTGCTTATGATGACCTGCCAATATTATATTTTGTGTCCTTGTTATGTACAGACGACGCACTGATTCGACAATAAATACATATGGATCACGAGGCTAATTTGAGTAATAAGGATGGGAACAAGATGATCACACGGCCAACTTCTTCACGAGAAGAGACTGAGAGGAGTCGTGCAAATTTTGGTAAATGCCGCAATCTACATTTTGTCCTAAAAATCATGCAGAAGTTTCTTAATTCGTTATGTAATTTCAGACTCGGAAAAAGTACAGTTCACCGCAAACAACGCCATGTCGAAAGCTATAAGTAATCCACTGGTGAGTTAACCTCTTTCGTATTATTAATTTTTTAACGGAATTTCCTTTCAGAACGATGTTGATCGCATAATTACACCCAATTAAAATTTCAACAAGTTTCCAATTATTGAGTTTTTTGACAAAAACACGAAAAATCCTCTTTTTAACATTGGTCGGTATGGGGAAAATTCCAAAATTACATAAGGAAAATATGGAAAAAATAGGCTTTTCACCGTCCAGTTTTCCACGAAATACCAAAGAAGTATTTTTTTAGAAATTTTGATGTCAAGGTAATTTATGCAGTATACACATTTGTGTATATCGTCGTCAACGGAAAATAAAATACTATACAAATGTGTGTACTTCGTGCTTAAGAGGTTAACATTTCCTAGGGAACGTCCATAAATTATGTCATGCAGAAATGCTAATTATTCAGACCCTGGCTGGCTCCCTCTAGGCACGTGTTACACCCCCTCTTAACTTAAATCGGTCTGTAAACCCAAACTTTTAGGGGTTAACCCTCAAGGGATAATTTGTGGATAATTTGTGGAAATCCTCATACTCATTTTTTAAATTCAATATCCCTCGTCTATGATATGATTTCGTAATTACATACATACATACACATGTCACATACAAATCAATTATAATTTTCATGATTTTCTTAAAAAAAGACGAATATTTGTTCAAACGAATTTTCAAATTTCGAGTTTTATAATTTGAAACACGTAAAGTCAACTTTGTAACCAGTGTAAGGAAAACCCCGGGGTTTTGTTATTGAAAACCCAGACCCCGGGGTTTTACCTGGGTTTTGCGGGTAGTCGGGGTAGTCGGGGTAGTCGGGGTTTTGGGGTCAAACTGAGTCAGTGTCTCAAATTTGCTACCCCAAAACCCACCAAAACCCGCAGTACCCCAATAATACCCCAAAAACCCGGGGTAGCATACCCTGTTTATAACTTTGGTACACGGAAGATTCCAAACCTTGAGATACAAAATATTTTTTTTATCAATATTAACCGTCCAGTTTTCTAAAAAATACTACCGATGAATATTTGTATTTTTAAATGTCACGATATTTAGGGTAAAAATCAAGGTTAGTGCCAGGATAATTTATTTAAACGCAAATGTGCGTATTGGGCTCTTATGTACGAGATCAATGAAATTTCTTAAAATCACTTCGTAATTGGCTCAATCAAACAATTTTAAATTTTCTCCCAGATTCTCTCCGCCATCTTCGCCCAACTCGACCTCCCCGATCTGAAAACCTGTCGTCTCGTCTGCCTCGAGTGGAGCCACGTGGGCACCACGTCCTTAGGAAAACGTGCTTATCTCCACGCTAACAAGCTAGTTCTCCGCAACGAGTCCAACCTTCGGATTGATGTGGCTCATGCCCACTCCCAACTGATCCGACGCCTCCTCATCTCAGGCAAATTTAACCGATGCTATCTGTCAAACGAGATGAAGGTTGACGCAATTACAAAAGTTCTCACCGAGGTGCCGGGAGTGTCCCAATTTACCCACGAAATTAAATTTGTCGTCACTCAGAAGGAATTTATCCCCGCTTTCCTCCAAGGAATGAGGATATTGGGGTCCACAAAAATCCGACACGTGGGCATCTACATCCAAGCGCAACCCGACACTGGCTACATAATTCCGGCCGAGACGTATCAAAACCTCCCCCCGCAACATAGTTTGGCCTGTTTCAAGTTCCAAACTCTTTCAACCTTTCGAGTCGGTGGGTGTTTCGAATTTCAACCCTTAGTTCAAATTTGGATCGATTCAGCCCCAAATTTGACCACTTTGGACGTCGCGGTGTCCTTCTATCCAAACTTGGAGGGGTGCAAGAGCCTCAAAGTGCTGAGATTTAAATTCATACAGCGCTTTAAGTATTGGCCCCACCTCAATTTGAACAGTGCGATCAAGATGCTGGGACAGGTGAAGGATTCCTTGATCGAGCTGGAATTGAGGAAATGTTGTTCCAGGAAGGAGGCAAGATTTTACATAATATTTATAAGCATTTCACAATTGGCGGAGTCACGATTTGACGTGTCATTTTTAGGGTATCTATGTACACGCTAAATAATGATGTATACAACCACTTGAGGAAAACGAAATTGTGGAAAATTTGCTCAACCTTGATGATATATTGCTATAATGAAGTATAAAAAATAGTCAATTAGCTTGTACAAAATTTATTTTACACAGTCTTGGACAAATTTTATTCAAAAGTTTAGTTATCATGATTTTACTCAATGTTGTAAAAACTTTGCATAAATTCCTGAGTAATTGTTGTACAACATTGGGGAAGTATTGACCAACTCAGTTGGCTGTTTAACGCTCATTCAATCTGGGGAGAATTTACTCATTAAGAGAGCAAAATCATACCACACATTGAGCAAAATTCAGTCAAATGTTGTGGTGGTTCAGCCCGTGCGGCGGTCTTTGTCAGTTGGAAGCACGAGACCAACAGAACCAGTCAAAAAGAATTAATTTTGCCATTTTGAGTTGCAAAATTAAATTTACGCCAAAATGGGTGATTTTGTTGAAAAAGTTCTCGAGATTGCAGGGCTGGTGGAACTCATCGCAACATTCAAAGGTAAAACTTAATTGTAAATCAGTATTAATTAATTTAATAATATTTTTTTTTCAATCTTACAGATCAAGACGTGGACGAAAATGTGCTTCGCAAACTGCCAGATTGCCAAGTCGGATCGCTTGAAGAGCGTCTTTTAGCTGATATCGTTCCATCAATTGGACGGAGGCTAAAAATTATTAATGCAATCAGGGAAGTCGCCGCCGTAAGTACCCTTCAAAATAAACGACTGTTTAATTGTAGCATTTGCAAATCAAATTTCCAAGAATTCAATACATATTGGAATCATTTAATAAGTTTTCACGAAATTAGTAAAGGAACGGCTAGAATTAATTGTCCTTTGTGTTCTACAATTTTTACTAGCACCGAGACACTTAAAAATCATGTAAAACTCTTTTGTCCAAAGAATAGAAGTAGATCAGTAAATTCAAATCTAGCTATACGTCAGGATATTTCTCAAATTACTGAAGAGGAAATTGGACCTAATTTGTTGGCAGATATTACTACAGACTATAAATTAGCTTTTGTCAAAACACTACAAATGTCGGGTTCAATTTCATTAGTAAAGTCAGCTGAAATTTTATCATCTGCAAATTCTCTAGTAAATAGCATTGTCGATATTGCTAAAAATTTTGTTAATAATACCACTGAGAAAGATGATTTGCTAATTAAGCTGAGTACACTAAAAGATCCTTTTCATAACTCAAACTGCTCTCAATATTTAATTGAGAAGAGTTTGAAAGATCAAAAAATTTATAGTGAGGCAACCGAAATTAAACTTGGGTCACATTTTAAATTCGATGTGGCAGCTGGGTCGGTAATAGAAAAGTTTGATTTCATGTATTATTTTGATTTGCGGAAAAGCTTGCCAATAATATTGTCTCATTATAAACTTGTATGTAATTTTGTGTTAGACGACAGTAATAATTTCAATCTTTTCTTAAATTTTAAATCTGGAAAATACTTTAGAAAATTGGACGGAAATCCCCTTTGCTTGCAAATTTACTACGACGATATAGAAATTTGCAATCCACTTGGTGCCAAGGCTAAAATACATAAGTTGGCAATGTTTTATTTTATAATTGCAAACTTTCCACCTCACTTCAAATCTCAGTTGTCAACCATTTTTCCTCTTTTAATTGTAAAGTCAAAATTATTGAAGGAATATGGTATCAACAACATATTGAAACCAATGGTCGATGAATTTAAAAAATTGTCTGTAATTAATCCACAAGATATTTTGTTAGAGTTGCCATTCACACACGTAGTTTTGCTCCAAGTTTGTGGCGACAATTTAGGCCTACATTCCCTACTGGGATACACGGAAGGGTTTAATGCTAATTACAGGTGTAGATTTTGTAAAGGTAACAAGCATTTTACCCAAACCGCTGTGGAGGAAGAGATATCACTACGTCGGAATATTGCTAATTATAGCTCGGATTTGGTGCTTGGCGACATTTCTTTAACCGGGATACGAGAGGGGTCAATTTTAAATGAAATTTCCTATTTTCATGTCACTGAAAATTATGCCCCAGATATTATGCATGATTTTTTTGAAGGAATATGCATAATTGAGTTAAAATTAGCATTGGACTATCGGATAAAGACCAAGAAAATTACTCTGCAACAAATTAATCATCAGATTTCTACCTGTTTCAAAAAGAATAGTCATAAAGTAAACAAATTTCCTGAAATAAGTCAACAATTTATTTGTGATGAAAAGAAATCTTGTTTCTCTGCATCAGAAATGAACAACTTTTTTCTTGTATTTCCGGCAATTTTTTTGGCTTATTTTGACGATGACAAAATGCTAAATTTAATTTTGAAATTAAGAAGAATTATACGAATTATTATGGCACCGTTAATTTCCCGTGAAGGTGTATCACTTTTGCGATATTTAATTTCTGATCACCACCAGCTCTATATTAATTTGACTGGTAATAATCTAACTCCAAAATTTCACCACATTTTACACTACCCTCACGCAATTGAGCAGCTGGGTCCGTTAAAAAATTTTTGGTGCATGAGATTGGAAGCAAAGCATCGCTTCAGCAAAATTGTGGGGAAAAATTCTTACAACTTCAAAAATATAGCAAAATCTGTGGCAAAACGGTTATCTTTGAATATGGCATTTTCCATTAATTCTTCGAAAGGTGACGGAATTATGCAAATTAAGTTTGGTGGAGGAGTTAGAATAAGGTTGGATGAATTAAAAGGAAATTTTGACTTTTCATTACTAAATATAGGTAGCGAGGAAATAATTTTATCAATCGAGTTTGTAAGTGCGAAAGGTACAATAATTTCTCGTCATAAATATTTCATTCTAGGGAATAATGAGAATCAGCTTCAATTCTGCCAAGTTGAACTTTGTTTTGTGCACGATGATCAAGTTTATATTTGTGTTTCTCCAATTACTTGCGTGGAATTGCTTCACAATTCTTATCTCTTTAAAGTAACTGGTAAAAAAACGGCAATAATAATTAAACCTGAATTATTAGATTTGGAGCACCCGTTGATTGTGGCAAATACGAGCTCGGAGTATGACGTAATATGTTGCCCGATAGAATTAGTTTAGATTAATTTTAGCATAAATTAATTTTAATTTAATTTTAGGATTAAATTAATTTTGTTGTTTAGCTTTTTTTGTACAATAATAGAAATCCAGTGAACAGCAGCTGGCATCGAGAGACGAGGAAAATATGTACAAATTAGTGCTGGTAAGAAAGGCATCTTATATGTTTCATATATTGTAATTTTGTAATATAGTATGGTGATATTGGTTGTTTCTATTTTTAGATTAATAATGAAGAAACATGCTCACAATCCAATAACAATTTTGAGCAAGAATCTATTTGCTCCGTAAACATTTCTGAGGGCGATAAATGTTTGTCACTGTCAGATCAGTTATTTGTGAGTAACGAAGTAACAATTTGGATGGTCACATAATTTTAATTAGTTAATTAATTTCGTGTATTTTCAGAATGTTAAAGAAATTATAGTCCAATCAGATCGTGAAAAAGGTACGGCCAAAGGACAGGAAATGTTGCAACTAATTATTAGCCAAGGGATGGCGTCGTTCCAAGTCAAAAGTTTAATTAAGAGGCGCACAGTGAATTATCTCATCAGAAACTATTCCAACTAGTAAGTGTCTACATACATTTATGTTAAAATTGATTCTTTAGTAGGTATAGTAATTTATTTTATTTATAGTCCACCTCGCCATGTTAAGAAAAATCTAGCTGAGTGCATCTCCTCACAATTGTTTGGGCACCTCGCCGAACAGCAGCAGATTGATATTAAAGTAAAACCAAATTATATTTATCTATAACATAATTTGTATGAATATTAAAATATATTTTTTGCAGAGCTTATTCTACAGTGACGCCAAGTCAATTGACACAGAGGAAATGGACCAGAAAGGGCGAATCATTTACAAAAATATTCCAGCGACAGGATTGATCGAGGACCGATTAAAATACTTGCGAAATAAAAACTGTATTTCAATTCGGAAGAAGCCAAGAGTCCTCGACTCTATTACTAATGGTAAATTTAACAAACTAAACTTGTTGTATACCTTTTTGTTATAAATAATAATCCAAATATTTGACAGATCCTACTGTTGAGGAATACGAAATGAAATCCTGGCTGTCTAACTCAAAATCACCTGCATCTCAGGTGCTGCAATACATGAAGGACACCTTTAATTTGCGAAGTCTAGAATTAAAAAATACAACCGATTTGAGTAACACTTTACAAGAGTGGCCACATCTTCTTGAGACATCTGGTGTGGTAAGTATAATATGGATAATAGAAATAAAATAATAAATGGTTAGCTTTGAAAGTTAGCATTGATATTGCTCCTTTAAAATTCCTTAGATTGACCAGGACTTTGAAAGATTGAATCCCGGGAAATCGGAAATTATGCTAAGGAAGTGGCCTAGCATCGCCAAACAAATTTGCGAATTCGCCGAGAGGTCTCAAACCAAAGCAATAGCTGAGTCAGGAATTAAAAAAATGTTTTCAACATTATCATTGGGTAAGTGTCAGAGCTGTTAGATAATTAATATTTGCAATAATATATATTTATATAGTTAATCAATTAATTATTTAGATGAGATTACAATTGCTGCATTTGTGATGTTGCCGTATCTGACCTCGACATCAGCTTATAAGAAGAGAGGAGCAAAGAAAGTCAAAATATCAGCTGCGGCGGCTGCTGACTTTTTTATTCAATTTGTATCTGTACGTGCAATATTGTTTAATATGTATAACATGAAGCAAAATTTGTATCATTTTCTTAAATACGCGTTTGTTTGACTCAATTCAGAAAACTTTTGATTTGGAGTCGTTCAAAGCCAATGAATCGGAGCGACGTCAACCGTTTGTTGTTTGTGTTGGAGATTTGGCAAACCTTATAATTAAGGATGTTTACGTTATGCTTGAGCGAAAATTAATTAAGTCGCCGACGATAATTTCTGCCGTAGATTTATGTTTTAAGTTGTTCCATGTTTTAAAACTTAAGTTCCCCGATGAATGTTACCCGGTCTGGTCTTTCTTTGATCACACGGTCTACCAGATAAACGAAATTGTATCTCCACCTGCATCAGTATTAGCTTTAGGATCTCATATTATTGTTTAATTAATTTTGCATGTATGTGTAATAATTAGTTACAATTTAAATTGTGTTCATGTATTTAAATTTATCAGTATTCGTTTTTGTATAAGATTGAATATTTAATTCGGAATAAAAACACTAAAAAAATAATTAATCAGACGTTGTTGAAGTTTAATTCAATATTATGCTAAAATTCATCCAATTAATTGCATAAATAATTTGCAAGTGAGTTGAGCATAATTCATTCAAGCATTTGAGTAAACTTTTGTCAGCAAGTTGATTAAAATTTGCCCAATTCAATAGTAGAGAACGCTCATTATAGTTGATCAAATTTTACTCAACATTGGTCAAAATGAATCACTCAAGTGGCTTGAGGAAAATTTAACCAAGACTTGTTTCCATCACTTTTTTCCTCAGGGTTGATCAAAATATTACTCAAGGTTGGGCAAAATTTGTACATATTTTCTTAGTGTGTAGCAACTCGTTCGGTGAGCTCAAAAAATTTGGGGAAGTGGGGGCTTTTGTTAGTATCAAAACTGCGTATTATCTGATTTGAATTAGTCAAAATTAGTCTGGAATTTGTCCAACCCTTTTGGACAAATTCATTTTACCCAATTGTTGTCTCGTCCTCTTTTTTTGCTCAACCTAAATCCAATCGTGGGTAAATTTGGCACAACTGTTATTTAGACTGTACATACATACGAACAAATAGCTCGGTAGTTAAACCAACCATGACGAACGTGGGATCTCGTAGGTTCGAATCTCACAACTTAAACCACTTTTCCGCGTTCCTTATTGAATGTAAAGCACTACAAGTCCATACTTTAATACTCCTATTTTTACTACTACTTTTGGAAAATTGTTCTGTTCTTATCATCAATTTGCGAAGGTTCTCGAGATTCAGTCAGATACTTGATAAGTATTGCTGATCTGTACTAACAATGTTTTCTTTATTCGACAGATTCAACCTGTTAAGAAGGTTCCCGTCATGTCGAAACTTACCACGCTGTTCATCCATGATATAAATGCGTACCAAATTTTTGACTTTTTTGATGATGACCACCTCCCAAAATTAAAATCACTCTCGGTCCACCACGGAGAAGGGAAGGCGCCCCTGTCATCCCATCTAAATCTGTGGAGACGACACAAAGGAGTTCAATCTCTCGCATTGACCTTGAATTTCTTGGCTTCGGAGGAGGAAGATTTCGCGGGCAAAATGGTTGACGTATTTCCCGCCGTTAAGGAATTTGAGCTGGTGATGTCACACACACTTAAATTGCATTCCCGCCATCACCCGCATTGTGGAATCGTTCAAAACGTGGGATTTGGAACGGGTCAATGTTCTAGTGCACTGGGTGAAACAATCCTCCGTGTTGACGGAAGTCCTGAAAGCTGTGTCCGATTTGAAAGGCAAGTTACTAAAGATATGAAAGAATACTGAATATCTTTAATATTAACAATGCGGTCTTGCTCCGATTTTGACGAAACCACGATAATTATGTAACCTAATATAAATGATTAAACACGTGTTTCAGGATTTTGCATAATGCTCAGTTTAAACGAAGTTGTTACGGAATCCGTAAGCGAGAATTTCCATTTTGACCGTGAAAGTTTTATCGTAAGGGAGAAAAATACAAATTCTTGCTCATAACTTGGTTTAAGCTGAGCATTAAAAAATCCTGAAACACGTGTTTAATTATTTATCTAAGGCTACATAATTATCGTTGTTGCGTCAAAATCGGAGCGCGACTGATGGCGTCATCGTTTTCTCAGTAATAAATAAATAAGTCGTAAAAATTTCAGGAGTTAAAAGTGCCCAGTTTCCAGACACTGAGGTCACGGAGGATGACTTCTCTCCCCGCATTGAAGATCTCGTCTTGCACAGTGGAGGATTTAAATTCGTGGAAATTTCGGGGACTATAGTACCTCGGTGGTCGGTAAGATCTAATATGCAAGCATAACTGTTTCCTATATTAAATTCTGTGACAATTCAGGAACCGGAAGTCGTGGAACGAATACGGTCCATCTTTGTAGATAGTGGGGCACCCATTAATTTTAGGGGAGGCGTCCACAAAGAACTCGGTAAAAATTATTCATTTTACCGACCAAAGATTATCTAGCCACACGAATAATGAACATAAGCCGAAATTCAAATGTTCCGTTCTCGAGAAATCATGGTGCTGATGGGTAGATCGAAAAACAACCAAATCACAAAGGAGTTTCACCCCCCTTAATAAATAAACAATTAAAGTACATACGAGGTGCAGGGACCATAATTAAATAAGTGACCTGGCCTTGATGGAGGGTCATTTTGCCCAACTTTTTTAGTCGGGGTGCAACACATACTCATAAATATGTGGGTTAGATTTGACCAGCAACATCATGCAAGGGTGTGCGGAAGACTCCCACCCATGGACTCTTACCCCTTGACTACTACCCATTACCCCCTACCCGTGATGATTCCCTACCCATGAACCCCTATCCATTATCTCCTACCCGTGATTAACTACTACCCTGATTATGTCCTACCCCACCCGCAATAAGTGGATGCTGTTTGAATGCTCAACTTTTTTTAAATGATGTGTTGTATGCAGTTTAAGTGACCGACTTGCATTAAACGTCCAAATTATTCCAAAAATGAATATGGTAGCTTTGAAAAGATCTAAAACTTCAACAATAGATAATATTCCTGAATTCTTGCCTAATTTATGAATTACATGACATGTGTGACGTAAATTGATTGCAAAGCTTATCTTCATTCTCATTTGAATTTCCTATTTAATTATTTCACTGCACTATTTTAATTAACCCAATTTTAACTATGCGCTACTTTAAGTGACTTGAATATACGTTAAAACCCAATTAAAAATAATTTATTGGTCACAAAGTGGCTGACAATAACCTTAAGTGAGTTCAATTTCAACAAATGTCTTACAATGAGGAGGTGTCAGGTGGTTATCGCCAATGCGAACCGGACTAATTTTAAATTGTTCAGGCCCAGAAATAAACCCACCCGTATTTTTTCGTTTTCCTGAATGGGCATATTTACGCCCGTGGCGGAATTTTCAAAAATAATTTCAGCCAAAATCCTGATTTTTAAAAACGGTGTAACTTTTTGAATTTCAGCCCGATTTCAAAAATTGAATACAATTTGTGTTCAGAATTACTTCCCTAAAAATATAAAAATTCATTTTCAAAAATTTTTTTAATTTAATATTTTCATGCCATTTCTGAGTTTTTAGAAATGAAAAAAACGATAATTTTTTGAAAATTAAAAGTTTTTTAAAAATGAATTTTTATATTTTCAGAGATGTAATTCTGAATACAAATTGGGTTTATTTTTTGAAATCGGGTTAAAATTCGAAAAGTTACAGCGTTTTTAAAAATCCGAATTTTGGCTGAAATTTTTTTTGAAAATTCCGCCACGGGCGTAAATATGCCCATTCAGGAAAACGAAAAAATACGGGTGGGCTTATTTCTGGGCCTGAACAATTTAAAATTAGTCCGGTCCACATTGGCGATAACCACCTGACACCTCTCCATTGTTAGTTCAGAAATAAGTAAGTCCAGGAGACTTATTTTCCGACCACTTATAAGTGAAATACATAGCAACTGCGGCTGCGTGAGCAGTGTCACTTATAAGTGGAAATGTCCTATAACTGGTCAGTACACTTATAAGTGATCACTTTGTAAGCACCTATCATCATGCACATATTTGATATTTTTATCTTACAAAATGAAGGTCTTATTAGATAAATTGTGACTGATGCGCCTAATTTTTCATATAATATTCTCTTCTTACAATTAGTATTAAGTACGAATTTTCATTCATCTATGTAATTTTATAATGATAATGATACTGATTTTAAGAGAATGTGTATAAACATATGTATAGGTACAAGAAACAACTACTAAAATAATTGCGGGTGGGGGTAGGAGTTAATCAGGGTAGGAGATAATCACTCGTAGGAGCTAATGGATAGGGGTTCATGGGTAGGGAATCATCACGGGTAGGGGATAATGGGTAGTAGATCAGGGGTAGCCCTGGTTGAAATTTTTGGCGATTTTATGCAGGAAATGTTAAGCCGAATCCTGCAGAAAAAATGTGCCTAAAATTGGCCCAATTTTGTGCAGAACTGTTTATGCATATCTATTTTATGCAGAATATATTATGCATAATTTATGTTGAAAGGTTTATGCACAATTTATTGTGACGGGTTTATGCAGAAAATTAATGCATTTTAAATCATGTCCTAATTGATGCATAAATTACAATTCATCAAGTACAATTAAAATTCATATTTATTTTTACTTGTAATAAATATAAGTATATAATTGTTTTAAATAATATTAACACCAGTCCCACGGCGTGACTTGTGATACTTCTCGGATAGTGTCTTCTTGCTTCACAATTTAGCATCGGCTCTGGTGAAGTTATCTGGAGGATTTTCAACTCGTCCCTTTTTAACACGCAATCTACATACAAGTTCCAAAAATGTAGATTTTGTTGATTAGTGGCTTACAGAAAATATTAAATGTGGGACTTATCTTGGTAATCACTGTATCTGCGGCGCAGACTGCGAGTTATGCTGCTGCCTTCCAATGAGGTTTTTTCTCTTGGATCTTATCTTAATGTCCCGTCAACCCAGTTCTCGCACCGTATTAAGTTTATTAACCCACTCGACTAAGAAATAACTGATCCTTTTTTTAAATTTGCTATGAAAATATCGAAAAGTTTGGATAAAAGAGGGATTTAAAAGTGAAATGCGAAATCGTTCAATGAAATGAATATACCCATGCCGTCTCAATTCGAGTTACGCGCTATGAGACACTATGAGACACGTGTATAATTATGGGTACATATTTCTGCATAATAAACTCGACATAAGTTCTATGCATAATTATGCTTATAATTTTCTGCATAAGTTGGTCGGCATGATTGCTTTGTCAAATTGTGCATAAACCTGCACCAAATTTTGTGCATAATGATTTATGCATAGGAGTTGTGGCTACTCCTGCAGAATTCGGCACAGACATTTCAACCAGGGAGGAGTCCATGGCTGGGAAAGATCCGCAAATCTCTTGCAAGAGTTTCATTCCTTATCCTCAATAAATGAAGAATTAAGGTACAAATTTACATAGGTATGTACATATATAATTGCAAACACACTTGTTACAACTTTTGAGACTCAATGAGACCCACAATATGAACCTTGTCCGGTGCATTCTCAGAATTCTATTTTCAATTTTAATCTCGGGTACATAAAAATTCCGGGTTAAAAATATCTAAAATGTGACAGAACGTGCGAAGAATACGTTATCGTTTTTTAACCGGAAAAAAGGTAATATTATCCTTCCAGATAATAAATAGCAATTATTTAGGTATGTACACAAGTACTCGAAAAAATAAAGATATTGATAAGCAGTAAATCTTCTAAATAAGAACAGATGGATGCCCCCGTAAAAGTGGTGCTGGGTTGTCCAGGCTTGCTTACTTGCACAAATATTTCTTTCGTTGCCTAACCCCCGTCGTAACACGACACGTTTTTATATTCTTCAAAAAGTTAAAAAAAAATTGCCCTTGTTGAAATAATACTTGAATTACGTGCATCTTAACTATTTTGGTGCGATTTCAAATTTACATATATTGGGTTAATCCTGCCAGAGAATTTTACACTTTCTCATTGTGCACGTTACAATCCTTCATAACTAAAGGTAAGTAAGATGTGATATCCTTTGATTGGCAAGCTCATTAAGAATTTGTTACTTTATTTTAAAAAATCGCGATTTTTTGCATGTATCCGTCGTAAATTTGAAGGTATCTATTTACATACATATGCATAAATGTTCCGCATTTATTAAAAAAAATAATTGGGTTAAATACTTGATTACCAAAGTATATAGATTCAGTAACGAAATTTTTGATAGATTTTAATGCGTAGATTTACATATTTGCCGTCATGTCACCAATTAAATTGACCCATTTGTACCGCAGAAAGTTACTTCTAAATTGCAATACCTCCATAACCCATAAAGCCGCTTTTAATGATAAGAATTTTAAATGAACCAACTAACTTTATGTATGTATGTATTTTTATGCAAATAAATATGAAATGCGTATTTTCTGTTGTGCATTAAATCCACAAAAATTAAAAGCACGCAGTCTTCCTCAAAAGTTGGGCAAGTTTAGTTGAGGTCAATGTTTATATACATGTTTAATTAGCCTAACTAATTAACAAATATTTTACGATTTCATCATTTCATGTATGTATGTATTTTTTGCTTATGATGACGTGCTAAAATCGTATTTTTTGTGTATCATTGTTAATTCTAGGTACAGGCGACGAACTAATAAATATGGCTACCGATGCTCATTTTGGTAATTGCGACAGTCTACAGACTGTAAAATGCAGATTTTTGTCGTAAAAATTATTTAAAATTTTCATAATTCGTTATTAATTTCAAACTCGAAAAAAGTACATTTCTCCGCCAACAACGCCATGTCGAAAGCTATGAGGAATCCGCTGGTAAGTAAACCTCTTTCGTACTATTACTTTTTTTTACAAAATTTCCCTTCAGTACGATGCTGATCTCACAATTACACTTACCAATTAAAATTTTAACAAGCTCCCAATTACCGAGTGTTTTGACGAAAAACCTGAATAACCCACTTACTAACGTTGGTCAGTATAAGGAAAATTCCAAAATTTCAGATGGAAAATATCTATAAAAAAATCCACTTTTTACCAAACAGTTTTGCACAAAATACCAAAGAAATATATTTTTTACACCAATTTTGCGCTAGATTTTCGACGCCATCTTCGCCCACCTCCACCTCCGCGACTTGAAGACGTCGCGTCTCGTTTGCCAAGACTGGAACGACGTCGCCTCCACCTTATTAGCAAAACGGGCTTATCTCCACGCCAACAAACTTTTTACACTCATGGCGTCCAAGTTGTTTGACGTTAAGGTGACCCCTGTCAACTCCCAACTGATCCGACGCCTCCGCATCTCGGACAACCTCCACAGATCCATTTGGTCAAACAGGATCAAGATTGGCATTATTACAAAAGTTCTCACCGAAGTTCCGGAAGTGTCTCAATTAACTCGTGAAATTAAATTTGACGTCACTCACAAGGAATTTGTCCCCCCTTTCCTGCAAGGAATTAGAATGTTGGGGTCCACAAAAATCCGGCACGTGGACATCTCCATCCACCTGAAATCCTTCAGTGACTACATAATTCCAGCCGAGACGTATCAAAAACTCCGCCCGCAACCTAGCCTGACCTCCGTCAAGTTTAAAACTCTTTCAAACTCTGAATTTGGCGGACAACTCGAATTTCAACCCTTAATCCAAATCTGGCTAGATGCTGCCCCAAATTTGGCCAATTTGGACGTCGCGGTGTCTTTTTATCCTAATCTGGAAGGGTGCACGAATCTCAAAGTGCGGAGATTTGAATTCTTAGAACGCTATAGGACAGACATCGATTTGAACAAAGTGATCAAGATGCTGGGACAGATTAAGGATTCCTTAATAGAGCTGGAATTGAGTAAACGTTATTCCAGGACACAGGTAAGGCTTTAATTTAAACATTTTACACTTGGTGTATTCACGATACCTTGTAATTTTTAGATAGCAACTCAGTTTGCAAATCTGCACAGGCAAAAAAATTGTATGTTTTTCATCGAAACGATAAATCATTATTCCATAACTCAAATCAGGTCCAAATGCTGAAAACACTTTCAAAAGACATCTTAATCTTTAAAAGTGTCGGTATATATGTATGTATAGCTCAGTGATCAAACCAACCGTGATGAAAGTAGAACGTCACGGGTTCAAATCCCGCTGTTGAAACCACTTTTTAACTACTTATTAGCGCACTTAAAACCTAGACTCCTACTTTGATACTAGTCCTACTTTAATATTTCTGTATTTAAAATTAGTTTTGTGAAATTTAGCAGAACACATTTTTGCGAAAGTTCTCCTGGGTGGGTCGGCCAAATACTTGATTAGTACTATCATAAAGGGTACATAAAGTAAAGCTATTGGGAGTTATTATTGATGATTGTCTTGAATTTACGGATCATTGTACTGCAGTTGTTAAAAAATGTTACAGTAGTTTATGGACGCTAAGACCACTTCGAATGTTACTCAGTACGTACCATAGAAATATTGTTGTGAACTCCCTCATCATGTCTATTATTAATTATGCCTCTCCAGTCTACTTAGTTGGTAATCAGAATATCAAATGTATCCAGAAACTCATAAGATCGTGTGCAAGATATGTATTAAACAAGCGTAAATATAATAATATTACTGATGATATGTATATGGATCTCGAATGGCTGAATGCGGACAACATAGCAAAGTTTGAAATATCGAAACTATCTTTTAATATGGTAAATTGTCTATGTCCTTCTCTATTTAATAATTATGTTAATTATGAGGTAATACAAACTAGGCAAACGCGATCCGTAACACATGTGGAGCCAAATATACCGTGTAACTCAAAAATCATGCTGAAAAGTTTCAGGTATAGAGCGTCCAAGGTCATGATCCATTTACCGAGTAATTTACTTAGTGGTAATATCAGTAAAAGTGTTTTTAAAAAATTAGCCAATAAGTATTTTATTGATAAGCAACGTGAAGAACGAATTATTGATATTTTTAATCTAATTGATAATGGCGAAGAAATGTAACTGTGTATACTTTATATATAAGACTTTTCTGTCCCTGAAACGTAATGACCCAATCTTTGGGGTGTTTCATTGTATGAAATAAATAAATAAATAAATAAAATTTTTTAAAATTTGGTCCAGTTACTTAGTTGCTAATATGTGCTCATATACAAAATCACAAAAATTGATGTACATACATTATTTCATTTAATTTATCGGATTTGTAAAGACCTGATGAAGGAATAAGTATTCCGAAAGCTAGTCAGATTTACAATAAAGAAAATGTCGTCAGAATCCATGAATTCTTCTACAAATAAATAAATAAATATCAATAATATATATTTTCTGTATTCAGCAGATCCAAACTGTTGATGAAGTTCCCGTCATGTCGAAACTTACCAAGCTCTCAATCCATGCCTTACAAGCGTACGGAATTCTTTGGTTTTTTGATGAGGACCACTTCCCAAAATTAAAAACCCTCTCTCTCCACCACGCATCAGGGGAGGGAACCCTGACATCCCATCTAAATTTGTGGAGACGACACAGAGGGGTTCAAGCTCTTGGGTTGACCGTGGATTTCTTGTATTCGAAGAAGGGGGAGGAAGAGGACTTCGAGGAAAAAATTGTGGACATGTTTCCCTCTGTTATGGAGTTGGATTTGACGATGAAACACATAAGTTTAAGTTTCATTCCCGCCATCAACCGTATTATGGAATCGTTCAAAACGTGGGATTTAGAACGCGTCAACGTTTGCGTCACTTGGGGGAGACAAATCTCCTTGTTGAGTGAACTCCTCAAAGCTATATCCGTTTTGAAAGGTATTTATGTTAGGACCAAGATAAATACATATCAGACTACCAATGGAACCTTTTTTCAAGCTATACGGAGATCGACTAGCGAGTTATGTCAAAAAATCAAGCCAAAAATTAGGAGTCACTCGACACTTGTACATATATCCGTTGAATGGTGCCTTTGAAGAAAAATATTAGGGATGAAAGTTCGCACTCCTCCCTGGTTTTTGTCCCGTGGAGGAAAAAGCAAGAGAAAATTTGCACAAAGATTGAACTTAACCGCCAATATTTTTCTTCAAACAGACAATTCAACGGAAAGATAAGTGTCACGAGACTCCTAATTTTTGGCTTGATTTTTTATTGACACGACTCGCTGGGCAATCCCGGTGTAGCTTGAAAAAGGTTCCATTGTAAGTATGCAAAAATAATTATTTCCAATTTTATTACCTAATTGTTCAAGAGGGTATTCAAAGTTGTCTTGGCATAATATGTAAAATTGTTTAAGAAGGGAAAAAACTGGTCAAGTTTTGTAGAAATCGTAAGCTTATTTACAATCTTGCCGCAAACCATGTTCAACCCAGATTATTTTTTTATCATGTTAGCTGAACCGACTAAAAGATGCATACACTTGCACAAATGCTCAAAATTCCGAGCGTTATGGGCGCTGCATGTTCGCAAAATCTGGGAAATTTTGAGCTGGTTCAGTGCATAGCGGCCAAAACCCAAAAGACGATTTCCATCAGCTATCGCCGGTAAAAAAGGTCATATTTTATTTTCTGCTGTTTTAGCTCAAAAACCTGCTCAGCGGGTCCGAACTATTCGATTTAGACAGTTTTTAAAATTTCCACGTCCCCCTCCGTCTAATGGTATGGGGGAAAGCACTACCTTTTTTGACAAAACTTGCCAACTTTCTCCCTCGATTGTAAAGCAACCAGTAGGCCCACGGCGGTCAAACTTCGCATGAACAATCCCCGGGGTACGCTTTTGGGTCATCCTGAAGCGCTACGCCCTACCCGTACTCCTTGACCTCAAAATGACATGAGGTCAAGTTACAAAGTTGGCTCATCCATCACCATTTTTTAAATAGCTCGCATTTCAACAATCCCCGATAGATTTTCTTCATATTTGATAAAAACTGATCAGACTGACTTGTACTATCAGATTCGTTAAGGATTTTTAAATTTTTCCAAGGTCAACAAGTTTTGCGCACAAACGAAAAAGGTCACCAGGCAAAGTCTCACATAACCCCATAAGTGGGGTATCGTTGGAAAGGTCTTGGTGGGAGGATTCAGAATATATATACTTTATGGGGTCTGGGACCACCCCCAGATTTTATAGAGACCGATGAGTATCATTGAGTTTTGGTTTTCCGTGCATGCAGACGTTTACACAGGAGCAGATTGAGAGCTAACACAGCAGTGGATTGAGGAAAACTCAATAAAATTCCTCGCTCGCTATAAAATCTGGGTGGTCCCAGACCCCATAAAGTATATATATTCTGAATCCTCCCACCAAGACCTTTCCAACGTACGGGTAGGGCCTAGCGCTTCAGGATGACCCAAAAGCATACCCCGGGGATTGTCCATGCGAAGTTTGACCGCTGTGGGCCTACTGGTTGCTTCACAATCGAGGGAGAAAGTTGGCAAGTTTTGTCAAAAAAGGTAGTGCTTTCCCCCATACCATTAGACGGAGGGGGACGTGGAAATTTTAAAAACTGTCTAAATCGAATAGTTCGGACCCGCTGAGCAGGTTTTTGAGCTAAAACAGCAGAAAATAAAATATGACCTTTTTTACCGGCGATAGCTGATGGAAATCGTCAAAAACTTTTCTCACATTGACGAAAATCGAGCGTTTCTGGAACTAGCATCGCCGAGTATTATCTGATTTTTTTAACGTATGCACAGGTTCCATACTACAAAAGGCGTTAGGACATGGTTTTGACGAATTCATACCTTAATTGCGGGATGGTTTTTAGTTGTAGAGATTTCTAACATTTTTTATGTGAAAGCACATGTCTCAAACTATAGGTAAGCATATCTGGCTTCCGATTTTATGTACTCTGAGAAATGAGGAAAGGTCAAATTTAGAGAGGTGTCCTTTTTTAGTTTTCCAAACCAGTGTTCTTATAAAATGGCGTTGAACAAAATATTTTTTTCTGAGGTCCTGGTGCAAAAATCGTCTTTGCGACTATTATCAAGGGACTTAGCATGCTTTTCACTATATAAAACCACTTTTGTATCATGCTTATCTTTTAAGTCCCTTTTGTAGTCTAGCTTCATACTTGTCTTAATGGAATGCTCTCTTGAACGCAACTCCTCGACTTTAAAGGCCCACACATTTTAGGACATTGATGCTAAAAATCCCTAACGTGGTTTTTATCCAAGGTAGAAATTGTATGTTGCATTGTAAGTACTTTTGATAAAATTTTGATAAGTGGTTACACCCCAGGAAATGAGTTTCCATCAAACCCTATAAAAGTTTTACAAAAGTTCTCCTCGAAATTGAAGCGGAACTTTAAATTTTTTTAACTAATCAAAACGCAGTAATTTTATTATTTTGTCACTTGTACCTTGTAGGTAAAATAGTTCTGCAGCAGGGAACACAAAAAAGTTATTAAAATTTGTTTTCAACAAAATTTGACCATTATTTTCCTAAATTAGTTCACGAGTTTTTTACTATTCCCCGTCAGCTGATTAGCTAGGGTCCTTCTCCAAAACTGTTTACACAAAATCTTCACTGTTTAATTTAATATTACTTGAGACACTTAGAGCTTTGCCCTCAATCTTCATTTGACCTAGTGGGTCCGCTTTAAAGGTCAGCAGGTCAATTTTCCTGTGCACGGTCCGATTGATCACTTTTCATGAAAACGTATCAGCGACGATGGAGGCCCAACGTTATGTAATTCATTGTGGATTCTTTTATTATTACATGCAATGATTATCTAGGGTTGTAATATTAACAATCATTCACCTCTGACCTCTTAGGTTATCATGCTATATGAGTAATTCAGTTTGGAAAGTGTTTTTTTGGCTCCTTCAAACTCTGGGGGCACTGGAGGGGGCATTTATAAAGCTATCGGCCCAAAATTTTAAATATATCTTTTTGAGAGTATTATCTTGCAACTGACCAAAAATCAGTTCAAAATTCAACTCCCCGCCAGAGATATTCAACCGCGAATCCGTCAAAACCATGTCCTAACGCCTTTTGTAATTTATGCTTCTAAATAAATAGTTAGTCTTTCAAACTGTGGGGGCAAAAAATTCTAATAATCTGGGTTGAGTATGGTTTGCGAGCAAAATTGTTGGTAAATTTGATTTCTCATGAGGGTGGATTTGGGTGGGTGTGGGGGATGGAATTATAAATGCCGTAATATTTAGTAGATAATGACAGGTTTACATAATTTCAGGAGTAAAAAGTTTCCAGCTTCTGGACATTATGTCCACGGAGGACCACTTTTCTACCTACATTGAAGACGTCATTTTGCACAGTAGAGGATTTAAGAGTTTTGAAATCTCGGGATATGAGGTTAGTAAAACAATTTTACTGATTTAGCATACATTTTTCCTACATGTTTATAAATACTCAGTAAATATGTTCTCTCATAATTCAGCGACCGTAAGCGGTGGAACCAATGCGATCCAGTTTTGAAGCCAGCAGGGCCCCCGTTCATTTCCGAGTGGGGAGGTAACATAGATACATAAAAAGTGCCATTACCAGAATTACAATGGAATACCAGACTCGAGCGTAGGAAATTTCCTGTCTCGAATTGTGTCGAGAAACAGACAAATTTTTGTCTCTATATCGTATGTATAATAAGCTCAGTTTTAAAATACATAGGTTGGTTGTAATATTTTGTACTTTATTAAGTAGCGCAAGCTACTTTATGCGATGACTTAGTTAGTCTGTCTGTCTGTCCGTCCGTCTGTCTGTCTGTCTGTCAACACGATAACAGCAGAACGGATCGAGATAATCGAAATCGGTTTGCGGTATCATACATATGACCTTAGGGGGAGGATCCTGTAAACTTTTGGGGTCAACCGGACCACACCCCCCCGGGCGCCAGGGGGTGTGGTCGGGGTAAAATGAGATTTTTAGTGCAATTTAATCTACAGATGAAGTAGAGTAAAATTAGGTGTTTCCGAGTTGTGCCACACCCCCCGGGCGCCAGGGGGTGTGGTTGGGGCAAAATGGGATTTTTAGAAAAATTGAATCTATGGACGAAATAGAGTTGAATTAAGTGTCTCCGAGTTGTGCCACACCCCCCGGGCGCCAGGGGGTGTGGTTGGGGCAAAATGAGATTTTTATAAAAATTGAATCTAACATGTAGGACAAGTAAAAGAGTAAGATTGATTAATTAGTTAATTAAGATTGATTAATAAAGATTGATAAAACAGTAAAACATGTAAGATGCATGATTTTTCAGAGTGGCTACATATAAATGAGGAAGTTTAAATTATTTTATTATTTTGAAATAATTCAGATTCTGCAATCTATATTTTGTATCGCATTCTCAGCATTATTGCGCTACTTGTGTACCCTGCGTTGCCGCAGTTTATTTTCATATATATATGTATGCCATAGGAAATGATCAAACAAATTAAACTTGTTTTCTTTCTAAGTAATTGATAGTTTAAAATTTACAGACGTGCAAAATGACTACAAATTTTATTACTGAATACTATTGAAAATCTAATATAATATCTACCGCTATTTATATGTATACATATAAATAGTCATTCTAATAGAGTTAACTATAGTTAACTCTATTAGAATGACTGAGCAAATTGTTTAGTGCATAAAGTTTGTTACAAATTGAAAATATTCTCAACCCTTAGTGTTAAAGTTTTACCATATTACCGACATATGTATAACAAATTATTACCGTCCGGAATAAATTTTATAGAAAATTAATTATCAGCTTTTCTACTGACAAATTAATACCTATGACTACATATTTATATCTGATTTCTAACAGTTTACTAACATACTTTTCTATAAATTACCCTAGCTGACCAAATTCGTAGCTAGCAATTATTTCGTTAGAGAAATGTAATCAATTTATGTAAGAATCTTGAATGTACTTGATAATTTGTAATTTGAATTGCACATTTGAATATATTTTTATTGGATTTCAATTATTCCTTTAATTACAATTCTTCAATCGCCATCAATCATTAAAGAACCAGGAAAAAATTAGTGGTTTGGCTAATTTGACGGTACATATGTCACTCCACGTGGATATTTCATTGTTTTTCACTTTTGGGATTAGAATATATATTGTTTTCGCACGTGCGAATTTTTTTATTACGGCTGAATAAAAATAAAATTGTAAATCCCTCGATGAATTATGCCTAATGTACATATCGTCGTTGAAGCTGCCAAAGGAGCTAAATCCGTTTTGTGTTAAATGCCAAAGGAGCCTAATCTACCTAACTTAACATTGAGAAGGATAAATAAAAAATGAAAATTCATGTTTAAGTTGAAGTTAACCTGAAAATATGCAATGGTATTTGGAAATTCAAGTCGCACATGAAAATTCTCAAAATTCCATGATCAATCAGAAAATATGATTAGCATTGATCTACATATGTACATTGTAGGTTAAGGGATTTTATTTAAATCTGCCTCAAAATCCTACAATAACCTTGGAAAAACCCACAAAAAAACCGCAAAAACCAAATTAATCATTAGAATTTTTCTGGAGATTGTATACCCATAAAAACCCCAAAAACATCAACCCGCAAAAACCCGTGACTCCCAGCGTCTTGTTTCTTTATATTTTGGACGGATTTGTTCATTGACCATTGGCCATAAGATATAAATCCAAAATGTTTAAAAGCGGAAGAGGATTTTTAATACAAATCTTAAACATGTGACTGGAAAAAAGTAATAAATATTTATATTAGTGTGGTGGATATACAGCAAATATATGCCATTTCCGTGACAACTAGGCAGAAATAAAGTGTCCAAAGTGACTTTCTAATTCCGTTTTCCTTCTTCTCTTATTTTTCTGTATCGTTAAAAATACCTTCGAATACTAAGAAAATGCTCATTACCATTTAGAAAGGTCGGACAGACAGGTAGAAAGTTCAGTCCGTTCACAACTTCCAAAGAACACTGTGCATAAATAAACATTGGTACTCATTTATCAGTCAGCGATTAAATTATGGCTTCCCTGAATGGAAATGTTCCACCTCCTCCCCCTACCCCACCAAGACGACCCCATTCGCCACGCGTTGCGATATCACCTGGAAATGAGTCGGAATTGGATACTTTGATAGGTTAGTGGTCATGGTTTCAATAAATAATCCAAAGTTGGCAACAATTTGCTAAAACAAGTTAAAGCTGGAACAGAATTTGGGAGCATGATTGGGACGAAAAACAGATTTTAGTGTAATTTCCCCTACAATTGTGGGATAATTTTTTGTAATTCTTAGGGAAGACTGAAACGTCGTAATAATTGTTAAATGTCATTTAGTTTTTCCATCATTATCTCTCCCAAAATTCGTAGATAACTGACAAAGGCTATTACCAGACAAATGTTGCAAATTTGTGATAAATATATGTATAATACACTCTAAGAAATTTTACCACCGGACTGTCACCGAGCGGTGACTATATGTGACTCTACCGCAATGGTGGTCACCAACCACCGCGCGGTGATAGAAAGTGCCATCACCATCGTGGTGGTAGACATCTACCGGGTGGTGGTAGAAGGATGTACATTTTTTATCACCGCTCGGTGATATGCCACCACTATAATTAGCTCGCCTTTTCACTGTCTGGTGATAGATAAATACAAATAATTTCAGTATTTCATACAAAAATGTCACATTTTTCACAATTTATTGCTTTATTTAAATATCTAAAAAGATAATTAATATTTTGTATGTATTTATATATGTAAAACCTATGTATGTCCCTCGCCATTGTGGAACTGCACCAGCAATTGAAGTTGTGAATAGTTTCCAGTCACGACTCACGACATTGGACACTGACTGAAATTAATTAAAGTTTAAAATACATAATTAACTTTCATTTAGATTGGTCAAAATATCAGAGTTTATTGATTTATCCTTACCGTTAAAACAACTTTGCCACATATTTACTTATTTGCAGAGATTCCGTTGTACTATCGAGATTTTTTTAAGTGCAACCAGTGACCACATTCGTGAGTTATATGTACATAGACTCCAGATTGATTACAGTTGGCCGACCAATGAGAAAAAAATATATTAATTAATTATGTACAGATTCAACAAATAAGCAACTAAATTTTATGCAAATATTACGTCGTCAAAATCCTTCAATTTCTGCACATTCTGGTCCTCCAGATCCACATCCAAGTTAAATTTCTCTCCAACTAGAAATCAAGCAAAATTAACTTGGCCAAAATTAGCTAACTTTTAACTTTTAATTTTTTTACCTGTGTCAATAAATTCACGATAACTGTTTGGGCACGGTATTATTTTTTTCCTCTTAAACTTTGAAATACGAAGTAATTTTACCATTGCAACTCCGCTGCTGTTTCTGGTATGTGGAGTAGGACAAACTTGCCCCTCTGCAAGTCACGTGTATAGCGAAGCTACCACCATGTATGTATGTATTGGTGGGGTGACGATCCTGCCATTGTTGGACAGGACCGTCAGCTGCGCAAGCACTAAAAGCTACCACCATGGTGCGGTGGTAGTGGCGATCACCAGCAATGGTGACAAATTTCGGTGATAGGTTTATCACCATTACGGTGATGCTCGCTATCTCCACTCGCGCGGTGATAACACCGATCACCCAATTTCTTAGAGTGTAGATATATGCATATATTTCCAGCATTTACTTATCTTCATTCAGATTTATCAACAAGCATCAAACCGCTACACCAAACCGTGACACTAATTCGCAACACTAATTCGTCCACGTTTCCTTAACTTTCTAATTTTAAAACTAGGAAATTTATTAGATAATCCATAAATGCTTGGTAACTACTTATGTATACATACATATAACTTAATTTTTTCTTTAGAAGTCCTTGACACTTCGAGGACTGAGAAGCAAAAGTGCGAGCAACAAGTCCTCACTTCTCAAGCCTGGATAGCAATAGGGCACCAAATTATCAAGGAGTCGGAGGAAAACATAGTCATGCGAAAAATGGACATCAAAAAGTGGGACACCATTCGCAATAGTTTTAAAGACAGGATAGATGTGATACAAAGCCACAGTGGTCAAAACAGTAGAAAGCTACGGCGAATCTCGGTGATTGAATCCTCTCAAGAAGCTGTCCCACTCTCTGGAAATGAAATGGTAATTTGTATATTAGGCGTACTCACTTCAACCTATAAATAAATATCTCGCAAATTTGGTGTATCGTGCGAAATTTGGAATAATGTTTGCCAAACGATGAGATGTTTTAATCGCAAGTTTACGCAGGAGATTGACAAATTTTTATTTTGCAAACTAATCCTGGAAAAGTTTGTTAAACGTGGGATGCTATGGTTCATCTATTAAAAATGCGCCATCTTTTTATACATCGATACTACATATTTTATTGATTTTCTTATCAACGACCCTGGTTCGTGTCGATGGTTTAAAGTTTTCAAAACGTTATTAGCTCACCCTGCGTAGCATGAGAGCTATTGAATTCCTCTTGTCCGTCTGTCCGTCTGTGTGTTCACGAGTTTTTTGCATCAATTGATGCTAATTAAGAATCCCCTCGACCATTATTGGATAAGTTCGGCGCACCATTGGTATCGAATAATCCGTGGCGTAAATGGTGCGAATTAATTGTGCAAGTACATCGAGATAGGACTATAATTATGGAATAAGTAGCACCATTAGTACCGAGCAATTGGTTATAAAAAATGATGCGTAACAATTGGGCCCTTTATTTACCCCCAAAAATCAATGAGGCGTAACAATTGGACCATCTATTTCCCCCCAAAAATCTGTTCTATTTGTTCGATTTTTCTGCACCATTGACGTTAAAATATATAAATTTTATAATAAATAATTGGGAAAGGGATGCCATACGCACCAATGATGCAGAATGGAAGGATAAGGAACCATACAATTTTTTCAAAGTTTTCAAAATTATGTATCCCGTTGGTCGCTAATGTTCCACTAGTGGTGCAAACTATTTTCGTTTTTTTTAATTTTTCCGTTTATATTACACCATTGGTGCAATAATCTATGAGAGTTATAATCTATTTTGTCGCCTTATTCCGTACCTTTGGTGGAAAGTTATATGGAAATCATTATGACAGGGTGAGCTACTTCTAACGTTACTACGGTTTATTAGTTTTGAAAATATGTGAAGAACTGCAAGAACGGCTCAAACTCAAAAATCATAAGAATTACAGCGTGCACCAAATAATCTTGTAGAAAAAATGGCACATTTTTAATAGATGAACCATACTAATTAAGACGTTGTCGTGAGTACGCCCAACTTTCAATGGGTACAGATTTAAGATATCATCAAGGTGACGAGTGACATGTGGGCGCTGCTTGTTAATTAAATATAGATAATCGATCCTTAATTGTACTTTTAACTCTTGTAGCCGTGGTCCCGACCTCAAGTGGTTTCATCTCACACGCTTCAGATCAGTGTTTGGCTTCAAGAGTTGTCATTGATGGAGGAAATAGCAGCGAACATAATACCCGAAATAGTATCATCAATGGACCAAATAACAGCGGGAACAACAGCGTCACAACCCAAGTCGTGAACAATACTGGGTAAGAAATTTTATAAAGTGTGCCTAAAAATAAATTATGCTCTGCCGTATTTATTTACACTGTTCTTATTTTTCTTACCTATTTAGTAATAATGCTGATATTACTAATTACTAGTACGCTTAGTTCGCCTTTATCAGGGGAAGAGGAGCTAAATCGGGCTTATGACAATCTACACACATCCCAGTTATCGGAAATCGGTCAAATTTCGGACGGAGATTTCGAATCATGACATTTTACGTATTCTTCTAATCGATCAAAATCATCTGTGGAACACTTTTATCGATTTTACCAAATTTGTCCATTACAAACTGGTGTACTAGAGTTGAGACTGTTTCGCTAGTAATTTGTGTACCTGTAAAATATTCTTCAATTTCTTCTGTCATTGCCATCCTTAAATATGTTTATGACCTAGGTTAATTGTAGGAATGGTGCTTTTTCTCAATTTTTTGGTGTGATTTTTATTTTTAATTTGCATACTAGTTGCATACTTACGCATCGCTAAGTTTGATATAACTATTTTTCATCGTGTTGTTAATGAAAAGGCACGACGGGTAAATAATTGGGCAACAATTTCGCATCTTAATTCACATTAATTTACTATTTATTGCGTGTACATAAAAAGTCTTTTGTCTAAAATGAATAATTTTGTCTCTCTCTCCACTGCATTGCCTCGCTTGTTACAAACGATTAATATCAAGTTTAAAATCAATGTATTTTTTTTACATAGATGCATCCAATTTATTTTGCCAAAATAGCTGGATTGTCTTCAAGCAGAGCATAATTTAATTAAATGCATAGATAAGTATTAAATTTGGTTGTGAATAAAATTGAGCAAAATTATAAACTTTCTGTATTATTCCTACTTTATTAAACATTATGAAAACGACCGAACCCACTACAACGATTGTACGCTTCTAAATTAAAAAAAACACCCACCAGAATGGCAAACTCTTGCTGAATATATGCTAACAATGCTTTACTATTTGTATTATGCTCTACTATAACGAAATTTGGACTATTTAACCCGATTTCTTGTCCTTTATACTCATTCAAGAAATTACAGAACATATTTAATCATTTAATGTTTTTAAAATTTTGTTGGAGGGTTCTGGCTTTAATCGATATTTATAAATTAGTTGAATACTTTTCCCTAGATATTTATGTAATTAAAGTAGTATATACATTATGCCCATATTTTCCCAGAAAAATATGGTCATATGTGGTCACATAAGTGGTCATATGTATACAAATGACCACTTGACTCAAGGGACTACATTCATATGAATGGAACTTTTCTTCAACGATTCTCAGAATCCTATTTTCAACTTTAAACTCGAGTCCGAATTCCGGGTTAAAAATATAAGCACAAATATGACAGAATTGTGCACACTGTTAAAAATCTTGGTTACTTTATGAGTTGTAAAAATCGAACCTACTTTATCAGTGTAAAATTTGAGTGTGCAACGAGTCATTTTGCATACTCGTATTAGAGTAAACCATCAAAATACACGTTAGTGAGTCACAATGGTGAAAATAACACGTCGTCGTGTTGGCGTGACTAACCATGGTGTAAGACAGTGAGCTGCTCAATTCAGTGTACTAAATTAGTGTCAATGTAACAATGGCGAGTGTCAATTTTTACTTTTCTGACTTGGGCGGGCTGCATCACCGCAACCAGTATTGTTTTTGAGTTAGTCACACAAAGTTTCTATTCTTCAAAGTTTCTATTCTTCTCTCATCGGATTAAAAAATATTTTCCTGAGTTACAAAGTAATCTGTTATATATTAAAAATTGGTTAAAATATAAAAACTCAACCCGTTGGATATTTTGTTTTGACGTTCTTAACAGTTACATACATTGAGCAATTTATCTATTTGTATTTATAGGAAGTCATATTTAAAACATTTTCAGAACATTTACAGAAATCAATTTGAATATTTACTTACGTTACGCCATAATTATTTGTGTATTTTATTTATGACACTATATTACAAATTAAAATAAAATGGCAAGCTAAATACAGTGTAGTTTATTTGACCACCCATAAAGTTAAATAGTAACACGATGATAAGTATGCTGCGAATGGCTCTGGTGTTAAATGTGACTCAAATCAGTGTAATACCTCAAAGTCAATCTGGAACCCTACCCGAGTAACTCGCATACTTTTCCAGAGTAAATTGCGGTACTTTTCCAATGTCACACTGTGAGTGACTAGATTCAGTGTGGGAGGCAACTATAACACGCCACTTTGTTAGTTTTAACACCGAATCTGGTCATCTTTTTTAAGAGTGCAAACCATGCGTTGTCATTTTCTTAACCGTAAGGCAGGTTATCTGATAATCGAAATTGTACAGGATAATAAATAATTACTTTCACTATGTAATTATGAAAATATTCAAGAATAATTGAGCCGGAATGCTGAGGCATAATGTTTGGATGCCCCTTCACAAAGGTCCAGTCCTCCTTGGTTAATAAGTAATAGAAAGGGACACGGACAGTCCGTGACGGACTTGTCCAGTCATGCATAAATATTACTTTCGTTGGCTAACCCTCGTCCTGCATAGACGCACATTTTGATATCTCAAAAAGTTTAAAACAAACTTCCTCTTTGAAATACTAATTATAATTATAAGAGGATTATCATATTAATATATATATCTAAATATCTAAATATCAATAAATATCTAATGCTGTTTTATATTTCACGCTACAGCGTATTTAGAACCCGAAAAAATTTCAGTTTCAATCAGCCCAATCAGTTCAATTTCAGCACGCAGTCAGTGTGTCAACATCTTGATTGATTGATTGATTGATTGATTGATTGATGCTTTATTCGAATGTCTAACAAGTTCACAGTTACAAACCATGCTCTTCCACAAGTGACATTATAAAATAAACAACTTTAGAAAAAAAGAAAAAAACGAGTAAATATACAGGGTGTTAATAAAGTCCGATCCCATTTTTCCTGTAAAAAAGTGAAGGCTAGTATAAAAAAAAACTACCCGTGATACTTACAAAAAATGTTCGACATATTTACCTTAGTATTTGGTCTTGTTACCATTTACTTTAACCATGCCCTCAACTCTTTGTTTAAGGCTCTGTGCTAATTTTTCCAATGTGCCTCTGGAAATCGAATTCCATACATCTTGAACTTTTTTTTACTAGCTCTTCCCTCGTCCGGGGTTGTGGCTCTTTGTATACATTTTCCTTAAGTATGGACCACTGGTTCTTCAGGGGATTCAAATCTGGGCCGTTAGCGGCCCACACCCCCTTGCTCCAGACCGTTGAAACTTGCGTCTTGATGAGACTCAAACTCGCTTTTGCTGTATGGGCTATAGCACCATCCTGCATGAAAACTATTTTTCTTTCATTCGGAAATATTTCCTTGTTCCCCATGCTATCGAAATAGATAGGTAATATTTTTTCCATATAATGCGTTGCATTGACTGATTGGCCTTTTGGTATGATATGTAGAGGGGTCACGCAACGTGCACAAAATCCACCCGCTACCATAACTTTAAGCCCGAATTTTGGGATCGCTCTTGATGGTACATCCGATTTGTTTTCTGTCCTGTAACGAACATTTTGTTGGTTCAATTTTGGATATAGTTCAATAATAGATTCGTCAGTCCAAAGGATGTGACTGCGCAATTCTTCACCAAGTCTTTTTTCACTCAAATGGGCACTTTTCTGAAGGAGTTCTTCAAATTTCAGGGGGTCATCGATATATTTTTGTGACATGAGAGGTTTTTTTGGTTAGTTTGTAAGCTGTGTGACCCCACTTCGTAGTTTTCACAAATTTTTGCACGGTCACACAGTTAATTTGCTTCTTCTTCTCTTTATAGCGTTTTGAGTCATTTAACTCCCTTGCTCAATTACGTAATGAACTACCGGTTTTCTTGCAAAGTCTGTTTTTAATCATTCTTTTTGTGGTAGGTGACACCTTTCTGGGTCGCCCTGGTCGCTTTTTGTCGTGGACAAAATTTTTATTCTTCCATTTCCAAACAGTTCTGCGGCTGCAGCCCAATTTTTGTACAATTTCTGTAGGTTTAAGCCCCTGCTGATGCAATGTTTGTATCTCAACTCTAAGATGCTCATGACTTACACGTTTAGTTGTTCCTCCCATGGTAAAAATTTGAAATAAATAACTTCACTGGTTCAAAAGTTCCAGCTGAATTTGTAACAACCACGCTCCAAAAAATGCATGGGATCGGACTTTATTAACACCCTTTATATAAGCAAGTGATCATAATCATAAACAAAATACAATTCCAAGTTAAAAGGTCCACATTGTATACATACAGATAGGATCTACTCGTGTTCTTATCCAACTCCATATTGCTTAAAGTTACTGATACATAAATCATAATTATGGCTAAAACAATTAATTGTGTAAACTATTTCCCTATATTGACTGCATAAAGGATTCAGAATTTTCACTAATTTGCGCATTAATTTTCCATAATTAACAAAATTATTATCATTGCTATGAGTTACAACTGTCAATTTGCTCTTGAAATCAGGAACACAGTTAGGACATGACCAGGTTTTTGATACAAAGATGTTGCAAAAAGATTTGTCAGAAAGTTTAAAACTGCAATTATTTCTGTGAAAGAAATTTAAACAGTATACACATTGCAATACTCCACTATTCGCACAAGATTCAGCACGGTCATCTTGAAAAAGTACAGTGTAGTTTGTTCCTTTGTGTATAAAGGGAGATGAGACGTCGATGATTTCCTGTCCGCAGAGGTGACAGTCTGGTCCCAAAGCTTGGTCGTCGTCCCAATATACGAAATCAAGTAGGTTGTAGATTTGGCTGTTTTCCTCATCAGCCATCCCGCCTATCAGGACTATTGCGTTGGTTGAGGGATGCGCGAGTATTACAGCTTCATCGATGGTCATCAGTTTTGTCATATTGTGACAGGGCCCGACAAAAAAACCGTACAATAATCAGAGAAAAGGTGAACCATAAATGAACAGATATCTAAAATAAAGGATCGGATCTCGCCTTCAGAAGGCACTTTACGTGCAACAGAGCGGCCAGCCCGCAGACAACCGCACGGTCTCAAACTCCGACCGAGCACTTGGGGGCGTAGAGGACGCTCCGTATATAAGCTGGAATCCCCTCAGAAGAAGTACGAGTGGAATGGAGTGAGCAGAATTTTGCTTCTGGAACAGTCCACTTCAGCAGGAACGGGGAGGCCGGTTGTTATAAAATTTAAAAGTTGCACAGAACGGTCAGACACGGTCGTGGTAAAAAAATTCATCTACCACTATCTTGTTGGGGTCACTAGGGAGGTGATGACACTGATTACGGAGTTGGGGGTGTCGAAAAAACTTCAAATTTTTAAAAACAAAAAATAATATAGAGAGCAGAGAGAAGAGAAATTGTTGCTCTCGTGTTGCTCTCGGATCGAAACCGGACCGAGTCTACTGGCAGCCTTTTTGCATGGAGCAGCAGACGAGGAAAAGCACATCTTCAAAATTTGTACGACTTTATGTCGTGTATCATACACGGTGTATGTAAAAATAGTTACCAGAATATCTAATCCATAAATATTGTAAGTTTTTACCATTTCATCTTTTCGTGCATGTATTTTTTATTAAGATTGACGTGGTATGTTCATATTTTGTGTTTATTACTCTATTTTAGGAACCGACAACTCACTAATTCGACTCTAATATGCTGAATGTCACAGATTTTAGTGACAAACCTCTCCACCGCATGAAGTTGAGGTCGACCCCTTCACGAGAAAGGAGGTCAACCCCTTCTTCAAATCTTAGTAAATGCTGCAATCTACAAATATTTTTACCTTAAACCGTTTCTTTATCATTGGAGATAATCATTATTCACTCGGTTTAATTGCAGACTCAAGAAAAACCTGCGCCACCGCTAGCATCGCCATGTCGAAGGTTGTACGGAATCCGCTGGTCAATTACATAAGTAGTTGTCAAGAATTTATTGATTGTCCCGCCCACCTACATAATTTGACAATTTTTAATTATTCCGCCAGATTCTCAACGCCATCTTCACCAAGCTCAGCCTCCCCGACTTGAAGAGGTCCCGCCTCGTCTGCCATGAGTGGGATGACGTGGGCGCGACTGTTTTAGCAAAACGGGCTTACCTCCACGTCAACAAGCTTTTATCCCACAATTCGTCGCCCAAGTTTGACCGCGTGCCAGACAAACTGGTACGGAGCCTACTCATCTCCGACAAGTTTGGCCGATCCATTCCGTCAAATGAGGATGCCGACCTTATTACCAAATTGGTCACGCAAGTAGCGTCTCAATTAACTCGTGAAATTATATTTATCCCCGCCCGGAAGTCGTTTATCCCCGCTTTCCTCGAAGCAATAAGGATTCTGGGGTCCACAAAAATTCAACGCGTTGACATCCACAGCGCGTGGCTGTTGCAACTGTGTGATTACACCGTTCCTGTCCTACCCTGTCTCCCCCGTCAACCTGCCTTGACGTCCCTAAGGTTCAACATAGATTCAGGGTTTGGACAAGACCGCACCACCGGACGGCACGAATTTCACTCCTTTTTTCAAGTCTGTCTCGATTCTGCCCCGAATTTGACCACGCTGGACATCGCGACGTCCCTCTATCCAAATTTGGAGGGGTGCAAAAATCTCAAAGTGCTGAAATTTGAGTTCATCCCGGGCTGGAGGAATTTTCCCGGCGTTAATTTGGCCGAGCTGACGAAGATGGTGGGACCGGTGAAGGATTCCTTAATCGAGCTGGAATTGTGTCAGCCGAGGGGGGATGGTGGTTACATGAAGGAGGTAAGGATGTAATACACGTATTTTAGAGTGGGAGTAGTCACGAGAATGTATAATTTTTTAGGTATTTATGTATGTAGCTCATTTCGTATTTTTTCAAGCTAAAAAAAAGTGGGAATGCGCAAAATATATACACTCAAAATAAAGTAGTAATGAATCATTACCATGCGGAATGAGTATGTGTCTCTACCACGTTGGTTACGATTTGTCGTAGAAATGGTAATAATAAGTTCAGGGAAATTCAAATTCATTACCAAATATTAAAAAAGTGAATACCATTATGTATTAAATTTGAATTTCCCTGAACTTGTTATTACCATTTCAACGACAAATTGTAACCAACGTGGTAGAGACACATAGGCATTCCGCGTGGTAATGATTCATTACTACCTTATTTTGAGTGTACAAATCGCTTGTTATCAATTTTTACACCTAGTTTTCATGGATTTATTTACATCTCTTTTGATGGAGCCTGTTAGTTATGTAGGAGATATTTAATTAAGAACAAATATGACCACACGCTGAGGGAGAAACATGTTGAAAACAAATTTTGCAAAATTTCCCAAATTTATATTATCCGAATTTGCGAGTCATTTTCTGCCCCTTGAGATGGCCGATCTGTCCTAAAGTTTTTATACAAATCTAGATCCAACCTGTTGACGAGCGTCCCGTAATGTCGAAACTTACCAGACTCTCCATCCAAGCCACGAATGTGTACCGAATTCTTGGCTGGTTTGATGAGGAACACTTCCCAAAATTAAAAACCCTCTCGGTCTATACCGGAATGGGGAAGTCGTCGTTGGCGCCCCTTCTAAATTTGTGGAGGCGACACGGAGGAGTTGAATTGCTAGTGTTGACCATGAACTTCTGGTATCCGGACGAGGAAGAGTTCGCGGAAAAATGGTCGACATATTTCCCGCCGTTAAGGAATTCTCTGTAACGCTGAAACAAATAAGGTCTCATTGCATTCCTGCCATCAAGGGGGGTATGAAATGGTTCAAAATGTGGGGTTTGGAACGGGTCAACGTTCAGGTGGATTTGGTGAAGCAATCTCCCATCTTGACTCAAGTCCTGAAAGGGGTGCGGGTTTTGAAAGGTAAAATAAAATGCAATCCATTTATAATTATTCCACTGTAAGAAATCTGGTATGGGACCGTTCATAAATTATGTTATGCAAAAATTACCCCTTTACCCTTCTCGCTTCACATAATTTATGGAGGGTCCGTATAGTTAGGCAGGTATTGATTTCTCGGTGCTAAAGATGCTATAGCTAGGAGCCAAAATTATGACCTAATCATCTATTTCTATTCAATTCGAATTTTAAATATTTCGATTTCAATTACGAAAATTTAATTATTGGGAATTTTAATGAAAAATGTCGCAAAATAAATTAATGATCATGGCAAATTTATTAATTTTGGTTGGAATAAACTATGTTTTCATTGGATGGTATAAAACAAACTCGAAAGTATACCCGTCCGCAAATACAAATTTGTTATTTGTTACCGATATTTTAAAACATTTGTTACATATGTATATGGTAACTTATGAATACAACTTTGGCGTAGCCATACTTATATCAATACCGCGTGGTATCATCTTAATACTGGATTTCTAACAGTGTACTAAACAGCTAAAAGACTAACGACTAAAAGAGTGTCGTAAGCGATTATCTTTGATGTTAATAAGTAAGAGGTCGTAATAATTTCAGGAATTACAAGTGTCCTGTTCCCGAACATTGACCATACAGACGATGAATTTTCTCCCCACATCCAAGACCTCATCTTGCACAGTGGAGGATTTAAAAGCGTAAAAATCTCGGGGTGGTGTGTGGTAAGTCGCTCAGTAAAATAATTTTCAAGCGTAAAAATCTCGGGGTGGTGTGTGGTAAGTCGCTCAGTAAAATAATTTTCAAGCGTACAAAATGTGTCCAAAATTCAGCTGTCTAATACATAAATAATTCAGGAACCGGAAATTGTGGAACGAATACGACCCATTTTTGAAGCCAGTGGTGCACCCATTCATATCACGAGAGGTGTGGATAACACGGAAATGGAAGGCATGGATTACTTTCTAAAACGAATAAACCGAAATAAATAGTTCCCTGCATATGTCGAATCAAGACTGGTATGGGGCCGTCCATAAGTTACGTATGGCAAAAATAGCGATTTTTTAGACCCCCTCTCCCCATTACCAGGTGTAACAAATACACGATATCATGGGGGCCTTAGACCCCTCCCCCTCTTGCGTTACGTACTTTCTAGACCGCCCCTGTGTACACATTTTGAGGTTGAATCAAACCTTTAATGCTTAATATAAATAAACTAGATAATTTATTATGAGGGTTTTCACGTCATCTTCGTAACCTTCGTAAATACCGTAAATCTATGGTCAGATATTAAAATGTCATCTTTATGAAGCTCGTAAATACCCGTAAGGTTGGTTGAGACATCGTTTCCGTTCGTAAAAATATTCGTAAAATCAAAAAAAAGCAAGCCATTTTGCATGCCATATATACCGACGATGTCTATTAGGGAAGGACAATTTTTATGAAATATTTTTTACCAAGGGTCTTTCATCTCAACGATTTGCAAATAACGTAGATTTATTAATATTTTTCTACGAATCTAAATACAGGTACAAAGGTCGTGAAGACATTCAACTCTCAAATTGGCTTAATGGAATTTACTTAATGGAGAATGGAAAATTAAGTATTTAATTAATATTTCGCTTATTTTTGGAAGTTTTTAATACATACATAGAAGATGTAACACATTAATATACCTACAAAAGAAGGAAGTTTGCAAAGAAAAATTCCAGCTCTAACGTTAATATAAATAGACTTATGCATCTATGCATTAAGTAATATGCACAGACATATTTAATATGCAAAAAGTTTTAGAAATATGTTTCAATCCATGCTAACTCGCGTATACCTTCAGACGTTTGAAATGAATAGTACATAGTTTTAAATAAAATACTAGCTGAGTAAATAGTTTACTCCTGCAATAAATGTTTGTAATAGATTACGCAAATATGTACGAACTCCTATCTGCATTAACTTCATTTGCGGCTATGTACATAAATATATATTTAATTTAAGTAAGGGGACAATTTCGAAAATATATGGGAGTTTCTCCCCTTAATATGAATAAATATGTACTCAAGTGACATACATTATGATGATACATATTTTTCTACATATGTCTGTATGAGCACTTGATTCATTACAATTGCGATTAACCTGACTCAAGGGATACTTATGCATGGAACTTTTCTTTGTCGATTCTCAGAATCCTATTTTCAACTTTAAACTCGAGTCCGAATTCCGGGTTAAAAATGTGACAGGATCGTGCAAAACATGCGTTATCATTTTTTAACGATTTTTCTTTTTACGATTATATTATATGATAATCGCAATTTTAACTGGTAATAAATAAGTACTTCCAAGATGTAATTATGTAAATATTCGAGAAAATGCTGAGGCGTAAGGCTTGGATGACCCCTTACAAAGGTACGCTCACCAGCCTAGTCTCCCCCGGATAAATATAGAAAAAAGGGACACTAACAAGTGTCCCTTTTTTCTTTGTGAGCTGTCTGCTTACATATGTAGGCGTACATACGTAAATATTTTAGTCGTTGGCTAACCCTCATCCTGCAAAGACACACATTTTGATATCTCCAAAATTTTAAAAAACTTGACTTCGCTGAAATAATTATTTACTTCCTCACATTTTAATCAAGTACGACAAGTAAAGGAGCACGGATCAGTGATATTAAAGGTACGTAAATAAGCTGCATGTAGCCTCTTCTTTAAGATCAGAATTTGCTATTTTGTTACAATCGCAGCCATTTTTCGTTTATATGTAAAGCCATCCTAAATTTGGTGGTTTAAATGGTTCGTCTTTATTACACTCTAAAAATGAGCAAATTTTAGTCAAGGTTGGGTAAAAAAAGAGGATGACACAATCAAGGGGTAAAATTTACCTAACGTTGGGGAAATTTTAGACAACGCTGGACAAATCTTACCTTCTGGTTGTTTTATCCTCTTTTTTATCCAACCTTGAGCAAATTTTACTCATTTGTATTTAAATAGAGTGTAAAAATAAATTGGTGTACAAATTGAATTGAGTAAATATATTTTTCATAGACTTTCATGTATTTACACTCGTCACCAATTAATTTGATCCACCTTCTACTACTTTATGTAAATAAGTAGTAGAAGTACAATGTTAGGACAATTACAATATTAAACATGCTAAGGTACACAAATTATGCATATGTAAACCTCTTGGGCATTTCATTATTGTAGAAATTTTTTTTCTGGGGAAAATTACATTTTCATTAGGGGAAAGTAAAATACCTGAGCCCAAAATTAGTACATTAAAGGAATTTTATATTTTGATCCCTAACCCATAATTATGCTTGACGAATAATTTTGTTAATCCAAAGAATTTATTTAAATGGAACAGAAACAAGCAGTTTAACTGCATCTAATACAGATTTTTACTAAAATTTCGAATTTATTACCTGGCCCGAGCAAATTATTTTTTGAATTGAATAAAATAGGACTATGCCTACAAAAATGCGTGCTGTCACGTGACCTTGTTCTTATAATCTGCAAATATGTATTTAATGCTGATTTTAATTTTAATTTGCAGCATAAAATACACACAAAATCTAAAACCACAGATTCATTCTCATCGTTTTGAAACGTTGTAAAAGGTAAATAAACACTTGATTACATGTTTTAAATTTAATTTTACTAATTATCGCATACATATTTTAAGCTTTTACCATTTGAATGAGCGTACTCACATCAACCTTCGCATATCTCGCATATCTCGCAAATTGAGCATAGCAACATAACTTGCGAAGTTTTGCGAGATATGCGAGATTTCGCAAAAAATTTGCTGGAAAACCATGGGATTTTTTTTCGCAAATTTACCCAGCAACTGAGCATGTCCTTATTTCGCAAAATTATTTCGCAAAGTAATTCTGCAAGAGAAATTAAGGAAATCTATGGAAACAATACCAAAATAGGTGTTTTTCTGTAGATTTGCGAGATAAGGGAGTTTTGCGAGGTCATATTTTGCGAATCCCCTCACGACAGAAATATTTTGATCTTCGCAAGTTTGCTAAATGAGTTGCGATGCGAAATAAGAAGTTGTCGTGAGTACGCCCAATATTTCATGTGTGCATTATTTATGTATTAAGAATGGCTTGCTAATTTTTTATGCATTTTGTGTTATTATTGTAGGCACTCATTCTTCAAAATGCCGAACGCTGGGGACTCTAGTGTTAAAAATCGCTATAAGAAGTTGCAGTCAAGTTTTCCACAGATTGGAAGGAGTTCTGCAAATTTTAGTAAGTGTAATTAATCTATATTTTTATCATAAACGTAACAGGTTTCTTTACTGCGATAGATATGTTATGTAGATATTCATATTTTCTAAATTTACTGTTTATTTGCAGACTCTAAAAAAGTACGTGGTAACGCCAACAATGTCATCTCGAAAGTTGTCAGGAATCCGTTGGTAAGTTAGGCTGTTTCGCAGTACTTATTTCTTTACAAAAAACTCCCTCCCGAGTACGATATGTTAAATATCTTCAATATTTTAATATTTATCTTAAAATTTTAAAGATTTTAAACATCGTACTCGAGAGGTTTAATGCTACATGTTAAATATCACATTTACTTCATACATAAGCACCCTGATATAAATTTTCATGATTTCATATGTAAAAGGCGAATATTTATTTTAACCAGCTTCCAATTTTGAATATGAGTTTATGACTTGAGAAACACTAAAAATCTATTGTTTAACATTGGTCGGTATGTATGTATATCTACATAAATAGATAAAATTCTAAAACATTTTTAATACAAATATAAAAAACTCAATTTTTAGATAATTCCAAAATTTGTGAGGAAAAATATATAAAAAATCTGCTTTTTATCATCGAGTTTTCCACAAAATAATAAAGAAATCTTTTATTTTGGAGAAATTCAGGGTAATAAAATCATGGAAATTTATGTACTTATTTATACACAAACGTATAAATTTGGACCGTATGAGGTTACATAATCTCTAATTGATAATTACCTTAATCAAAAAATTTTGTACTAGATTCTCGACGCCATTTTCGCCCACCTCGACCTCCCCGACCTGAAAACGGCTCGCCTCGTCTGCCATGAGTGGAACGACATCGCTTCCCCCTTACTAGGAAGACAGGCTGCTCTCCAGGCGACCCCACTTTTTTCCTCCAATTCGTCCCACGTGTTCCCCGTCAACCCCAAACTGAAGCGAACTCTCGTCATCTCAGACCAATTCCATCCGTCCATTCCGCCCCACATGAAGACCGAAATTATTACCAAAGCTGTCACCCAAGTGTCTCAATTAACTCGTGAAATTAAGTTTGTCGCCAATCGAATGGAATTTGTGGCCCCTTTCCTCCAAGGAATTCGGATGTTGGGGTCGTCGCCAAAAATTCAAAAAATCAGCATCTTCAGTGAGCCGGATTATTATGACCCCAACACAATAACTCCGGTCGAGGCTTATCAAAAACTCCCGCCGCAGGATAACCTGACCACCCTCGAGTTCAATACCCTTCTAGACTTTCGAATCCACGGGTGGGAGGAGTTGCAACCCCTGCTCCAAATTTGGATCGATGCTGCCCCCAATTTGACCACGCTGGACATCGCAGCGTCTCTCTATCCCAATTTGGAGGGGTGTAGAAACCTTAAAGTGTTGAAATTTAGATTTTTAACGCGTTATGTGCACGTCAATTTGGGCAAGGTGGTCAAGATGCTGGGACAGGTGAAGGATTCGTTAGTGGAACTGGAGTTGTCTGTCGCTCCGGAGAATTCTGGAGTAATGAAGAAGGTATAAAGTTTTTAAATAAGCATTTTATGTAAAGCGGGGGTGTTCTCGGAATGGAGGTGCAATTTTAGGGAAAATCTTTCTTAATCCAACTTGCTTTTAATTGAAATCGCATTGCTAATTGCAAAATATATTGAAATCATCCTACCTTGAATTTAGAGTACTTTCATTAAAAAAATAAATTCACATCCTGCCAAATTTTAAGTAATTAAAATTACAAAAAATTGTGAAATTATCAATCCTGGCAAACTTTTCAAAATCGTAGGTTTTACTCAATTTGAAAAATTAAACGGAAGGGATTTTATGAACAGCATTATCTCTTTTGAAAAATCTTTTATAAATCATTGTAGTCGACAAGTAGTGATTTTTTTTATAAATATTTACATTAGTAGTTATGTATGAAAATCCTTGTCTGACGGATTAAGTTACAGGGATTGTTCCAAAGTACAAAAAGTAATGTAAATTAAAGTTGTGGAGTTTCTATATAGGTATTTAGTTTTGCGATTTCAATAAAAATCTTTCCCATTAAATGAAACCCAAAATTTAGGGTAGCCAGTAATTTCAAAAATTTGCCAAGTTTTAAAAATATGAGGATACCCAAAATATGATATGCTCTCCATCCACGCAAGACTGAAATTTTAAAGAAATTGAGAATTCTGAGAAACTATGCCACTGTCAGTCTCAAGTTCCCTAGAAGTCAAGTTGACGGGGAAGTTTGAGAATAGCAGTGGCATAGTTTCTCAGATTTCTCAATTTCTGTAAATCAATCAATATGTAACTCAATTGTAAGTCAATCCTGCGTGGATTTAGAGTATAGTGTTTCGTTTCCTACGGTTTACGCTTGACATCTAAGTTTTTATGTTTAACCTGCGTCATATTTCCGAAACTTTCATCCCAACACTTCATCAGTACTAACAATATAAATATATTTTGTATGTGCGCATCCTATCGCAGCTCCAACTTGACAAGAAGATGGTTCCCGTCATGTCGAAACTAACCACACTTTCCATCCAAGCCATAAATGTGTACCGAATTCTTGACTTTTTTGATGAGGACCACTTCCCAAAATTAAGAACCCTCTCGATTCAGCCAGGAATAGGGAAGTCGTCCTTGATAACGCATCTAAACTTGTGGGAGCCCCACAGAGGAGTCCAATCTCTCGCGGTGACGATTGATTCCTGGGAAGAGGAGGAATTGGAGGAAGAAATGATCCAGATATTTCCCACCGTTAAGGAATTCAATTTGACTCTGAAACAAATAAGTTCTTCTCCTATCAGTCGGAGTATGGAATCCTTCAAAATCTGGGATTTGGATCGGGTCAACGTTATCGTCGATGGGGTGAGGCCCTCCTCCGAGTTGATTGAAGGTCTGGAAGCTGCTATGTCCCGTTTGAGAGGTGAGAGTTAAGATTAAATTAAATTAGTCCATTAAATAATTATTTTTCCCAATTACAAATCTGGTATAGTTCGGCAAGTATTTTTTATTTCTCGGTATTAAAGTTACTACCGATTCGTATTAACATTATGACTGGGTTAATAAATATGACAAAATTTTATACCGGGATACGTACTACTACCAGGGTTACAAGTGATATATATCACCGGGTGAGATTTAGTGAGATTTAATGATTTATATCATTTATCTCACTTGGGGCTGAGTGAGAAATATGAGAAATAATGAGATAAACCTGTAGTTCATGACCCCGTCCGCTAGGTGGCGCTAGTGCATGGCTCATAAATCTCACTAAATCTCATATTTCTCATATCTCACTATTTCTCACTATATCTCAATGAGATGAGATTTATGAAGGTGAGATGAGATTTCTGCAACCCTGACTACTACACAGTATTACCTATCAATACGGTTTTTTGGTATGTAGAGTTACATATGCACCAATACCGTTTCGTATTATTTTAATACATGATTTCTAAGAGTGTATGGCACTAAATGATTATGATATTAATACATAAACTGTCACAATTATTGTTTCAGGAGAGAAAATAATCCAGTTCAAATAATCATTTACATACGTTTCGGAGGATAACTTTTCTCCCCACTTTCACGATCTCATACATACAGTAAAGGATTTAAACGCACAGAAATCTCTCGTGAAACGTGGTAAGTCTCGGAGCAAAATAATTTTCTACATAGCGCACGTATTTTTTAAATGTAAATATTCAGTTTTATAAAAAATTTGATTCAGGTACCGGAAATTATGGGACAATATAAATGCGACCCATTTTGGAAGCCAGATGTGCACCCCTTCATTTCAGTGGAGGCGTAAACAACCAAGTCATTAATATTTAGTTAAATAATACTGAACAGACTCTTGCCGATAAACTTTCCTGTCTCAAATCGTGTCGGATTAAATAATTGCGACTTTTTCATAATTTCTTCGTTTTTTATATTATTTTTACGATTTTTTTTTTCTTTAAGGTTAGGGAATTTTAATGTTAGACTCCTTAGTAGTCAGCTTTTCCTACATGTAAGATATGTCATAAGATATCGTGTGAAATTATATGTAATATTATTAATAAATTAACTGCGACAAATTAAAAAGATGACTGAACTTGCATAAACTTACGACACTTGTATCTATTCATAAATATGTAGAAAGTGTTAACTTCAAAAACTTACGCACACTTAGAAAAGAAAGAAGAAAGAATATTTTTTGAGTTTTTCCTCTTATTTCGTCCGTTTTACCTCCCACTCCACTGCTGTGTTAAATTCTGGACAACTGCAGATTTTCGTTCATTGGAAATTTTGGGAAAACATTGGGTAATCTCGCATAATAAAATATGCAATTAAACCAAGCGAATTAGAAACACGTTGGTGAAAACTGCTATACTAAATAAGAACATACGTAAATAGATCCAGGGTTAACTTTAGATACCCAATTAAATTTCACGCTACTCTTTAAAAATCATTTAAACTCTTTTAAAAAAACTAGATTTAGGTAGCATAGTTTACATACATACCTCAATTAGAAATGAGAGTGCGTTTAACTTTACTTTTACAAAAGGGTGACATTATTTATAAGAGTGTATTTCAATATCTGTGATTTCAATGAAGTCTTGAAAGTCTAGAAATGAGACCTAAAATTTAGGATAGTCAGTAATTTCACAAATGTGTCAAGTTTAAAAAATATGAGGATTAAGAGGATACTCAAAATATGTTTCGTTTCTTGCGGTTTACATAAACTTAACATTTAAGTTTTTATTTTTAATTTCCGTCATATTTCCGAAGTAAATATTTACATAAATATGTGTTTACATATCAACCTATCAGAAAAGGTTGAGCACATCGAGCAAGAGCTCAATACACAGAATTCTTTTCTGAACTCGAGTCCAAATTCCGGCTTAAAACTAAGGATAAGAAAAAGATGACAGGAAGTGCAAAGTATGTATATGTATGTTATTATTTTTAATAAGAAACGTGACCTTATCTAATAATCACAATATTCCTGGATAATAAATAATACGAAAAGTAGTTAGATACTTGTTGGAGAAAAATAAAGATGCAGACAAGCAGGAAAATTGAGCCATAAAAGCCAGAATGATTGGATATCACTTTCTTAAAAGAAAGGGACGCTAAACCTTGGCTTGTCCTCCTTTCATAAATATTTCTGTCGTTGTCCAAACCTCTTCAGACAAAGAGCCACATCTCCAAATTAAAAAAAGGTCATTTCGTTGAAATAATATTCTTGGCCCGTTTTAACTAGTGCAACCAGATAGGAAGGGAATAATAGATATGTAATCTTCAATAAATAAGCTAATAGGCATACGTCGGATATGAATGCAATATGACTTTTTACATTTATTGACCTACAGCCTTCAAACTTTCTGAGAATGATAACGTAGGTCACGTAAGTAAAAGCATATTGTCTCATATTGGTCATATTTTATGGCCTTGGGACATTTTCATATTCTTAATTATATTTCAGGCTTCATTTCATCATTTTTGACCAAATTTTTAAGATTTGCATACCAAATTTCCAGAAAATTAAAAAAATGCTTGCCTTTCTCCACCACACCCTCCCAAAGGAACCAAAAAACACGAAAAAGGCCTTGTTTCCATGTGCTCGAAATGTCACCAAAAATCCATTTTTCTCGGATTTTTATCAAATTTGCATTTCTGTGATCCCAGATACATGTGTGATAATATCCAGTACATATCTCAACTTTTTTTGAAATATTGAATTATTTCGAATTCTCCTTAGTCTTTTGTGTGTTTACTCTTTTTGAAAAAAACCTCCTCCAAAAATTTTCAAAATCTGGAGTGTATATTTTAATAAAGTATCAACGACTTGCTGTACAAAATTGTGGCTTTATCCGTTTAAATGAAATATTAAAGCCGAGAATTGATTTAAAACGTGGGGCGTCCATAACTTACGTAACGCAAGTCGGGGGAGAGGGGGTCTAAGGCTCCAACGATGTGCACTTGTCACACATGTTAAATGGAGGGAGATGGGTGTAGAAAATCGCGATTTTTGCGGCGCATAATTTATGGACGACCACCGTACAGATTTTTAGGCCTGTGATGTCACAGGCGATGAGTCACCGAGTTCAACGTTGACATTCAATTTTCCATAAGAAACGCATACAAAAAAGGGTTTTTAACTTTTTAACCAATGAGAAGGCTAATCTTACATACGTGACAATTAGAGATTCCAATTTGGAATTTTCAAGGATAATAAAAAAAAATAGTTAGAGGTCAAGGGGTCATCCATATATTACATCATCAAAGATTCTCGATTTTAGCACTCACCCGTCCAACGTAAACATTAAGGGATATGGAATTTTAACATGGGAAAGATAGGAAGACAACCACCCACCCAATAAAACGATGACATAATATATGCACGTTCCCTAAGTATTCTAGAGAAATGTGTGTACTGATAAGAAGCAAAACTGAGGCATGAATCATACAATCCTTGGAATGTTCCATAAGAAAAGGGACGATGAGTTGTACAGTCATCCTTTCAGAAATAATTCATTCCTTGCCTTCGTCGTGTAAAGACACGTTTAAAAAGCTACCTCATTGAAATACTACTCGCATTTTAATTAGTACGACAAGTAAGGGACAATTATCATATTAACCTTGTTCATACTACTGATTTTTCAACAAAATTTCTCTTGGGTACGGCGTCGATTTCATAAGTAATTACCCCTGATAGAAACCAATTAAATTTTTCACGATTTCGATAAAAGACGGATTATTTATTTCAACCAGTTTCTTAGTTTTTAACTTTTTGAGTGAAAACACGAAAAATCCACTTTTAACATTGTGGGTATTCACGTCACTAAAAAACTTCGCTTCGCAACAAATCTTCGCAACTTTGCGGTGTTTGCGAAATCGGTGTCGTGAACGACTTATTTTACATGAAAATGCGTAAATTGATTATTTGCAAAAAATAATTCATTTGGCAACATTTCCAAAAATGAGGGAAAATGAAAATTTGCTTGGCGACGAGTTTGTGAAAAATAGTTTACGACGATAATAGATGCCCTTTTTGCTTGGCATGTTTCGTAAAAAAAATAAAGCAATCTGATTGGTTGTCGCATCGCAACTCTTCGCAAACATCGCAAAGTTGCGAAGACATGTTGCGAAGCGACGTTTACGGCTTTTACGAAATTGACGTGAATACCCACATTGTTCGGTATAGGGAAAATTCCAAAATTTTAAGAGAAACACATTTTAAAAAATCTTCTTTTTACCGTGCATGCATTTATTTTTTTATCAATAATGTCGTATTAATTTCATTTTTTTCATATTCCAGGTACGGACGACGACGGCCTAACCCAATTCCAATATGCCTAAGAACGTTACGGATTTTAGTGACAGAAATCAGCACGATATGAACCAGGTGTCAACCCCTTCACGAGAGGAGAGGTCAACTCCTTCTCCAAATTTTAGTAAGTACATATTTGAACCTAGAAATATATTATCTTAAAAATTAATCTTTTCTTCATCATGAGCATACGTCGGCTATGAGTGAAAAATGACTTTTTCCATTTATCGACCTGCAGTCGCCAAACTTTCTGAGAATGTTTACGGTCACTAGTAGGTTACATAGGTCAAAGCATATTTTCTCATATTTGTCATATTTTAGGGTTTTGGAACATATTCATATTCCCGATCATATTTCGGGCTTTTTTCGTTCATTTTATCATTTTTGACCAAATTCTAAGATTTGAAAACCAAATCGACAGAAAGTGGCAAAAGATTCAATTTTCTCACAATAGTTCATTGTGAGAAACTTGCAGAAATGTACATTCACTTTCGCCTAGGGTGATTCAATTCATTGGGAATGAACTTGTTTTATTGCTAAAAATTGAGTATCACAAGAAAAAAATATAAAAAATTAAGCCAAAAATGTAAAAAGGTCATTTTTATGGTCATATTTTGGGGGTTTTTACGGTCATTTTTCATTCATATTTTGAGGTTTTATCGGTCATTCATATCCGACGTGTGATCATACATAAGAGATAATCTGTATTCACTCGGTTTAATTTCAGATTCGGAAAACGCACCTGACAACGAGAACAATGCCATGTCGAAAGCTTTACAGAATCCGGTGGTCAGTTACACACATACATAATTACACTCATTTGTCAAAATATGTATTTAAGAATTTAATGACTGTCAAAACTGTCCGCATAATTGAACAATTTTAAATTGTGTGCCAGATTCTCGACGCCATCTTCGCCCAGCTCAGCCTCTCCGATGTGAAGACGTGTCGTCTCGTCTGCCAGAAGTGGAACGATGTCGGGGTCAAAACATTAGGAAAACGGGCTTATTTCCCCGTCAACAAGCTTTTTTCCTACAATGCCCCCAAGTTTAATGAGCTTCCCCCCGTCAACGACCAACTGATGCGAGGCCTCCTCATCTCCGACAAGTTCGACCGATCCATCCGGTCGGACAAGAAAAAGACCGAAGTAATCACAAAAGGGCTCACCCACGTGTCCAACTTAACTCATGAAATCAAATTTCTCGCCGCCAAGGAGGAATTTGTCCCCGCTTTCTTTAAAGGAATAAGGGCCTTGGGGTCCATTAAGGTCTAGCGAATTGACATCCGCGGCACCTGGGAAGCCACACGAACTACACAATTCCTGCCGAGGCGGGTCAAAAACTCCCGTCCCAACCGAACTTGACCTCGCTCAGGTTCCATGATAGCTCGGCAAACCATTATGCCGCCGCCTGCCTGGAATTTCAATCCCTGATCAAAATCTGGCTCGATGCTGCTACAAATTTGACCACGCTGGACGTCGCGGCGTCTCTCTGTCCGAATTTGGAGGGGTGTAAAAGTCTCAAAGTGCTGAAATTTAAGTTCGTAATACGCTATGGGCAAGCCCGTAATCCCAACTTGGACAATGTGATCAAGATGCTGGGACAGGTGAAGGATTCTTTAATTGAGCTGGAATTGTCTAACGGGGAGGGTGGTTACGAAAAAGAGGTTAAGATTTAATTTAAGCATTTTATAGGGCGTTGGGATACTTAAATATGAGCAGCTCATTTCGTATATGTATTTCTCAAGCTCAACAAACATGTGCAAAACATGATTTCGCAAAGTTTCACACACATTCATATGCAGATGTATCATATTCAGATTTAGTTTCCAAGGATTTATTATTGTGTGTATATACATACATATGGTCGTACTAATTCTAAAAACAGCTAAGTGCAGTCAACACTTAATTATAAAACCAGCTAAGTGCAGTTAACGTTTAATTCTAAAAACAGCTAAGTGCAATCGATGCTTAACTAGCTAAGTGTACAATAAAAACTCGTAAAAGGAGCTAATTGCAATTCTAAAATTATAAAGACTTAACAATTTATGGAGAACCGTGCTCTATGCTGAAATATGAATATTTTGGCCTGATAAGGCTAGTCCTAGGAATTTCAAATCCACACCGGCGGTGTGTGTGGTTCTCAGCGTTGATTATAAAATTAAGCATTGACAACGGTCAGCTGCTTTTAAAATTAAACGTTAACTGCACTTACAATGCAAGTCTTTTACGTGTACAACTCAGGAGGAGAGACCCTTTACATGTCATCTTCAGATGTTGATGCCCTTTGGGTATGTTGGAGTACCCTATGAGTCTACCAAAACCCTGAAGTGGTTTGATGCCATGGCCCCATTTGCGCCCGCCACACCCACTCATAGGCTTAAAAAACACGAAAAAGGCCCTGTTTTCATGTACTTTAACTGTCACCAAAAATCCAATTTTGCTCGGATTTTCGTAAAATTTACACTTTTGTGATCCCAGGTACTTGTGTGATCATATCCAATAGCAATCTCAACTTTTTTGAAATTTTGAAAATTTTCGAATAAGTCATGAGCAGTGAAATGCCCAAAAATTTCGAAAATTTCAAAAAAGTTGAAATTGCTATTGGATATGATCACACAAGTATCTGGGATCACAAAAGTGTAAATTTTATCAAAATCAGAACAAAATTGGATTTTTGGTGGATTTTAGAAGTTGATAATTTTTGTGGTTTTCATCCCTTTGAGTGGGTGTGGCGGGGGCAAATGGGGCCATGGCATCAAACCACTTGAGGGTTCTGGTAGACTCATAGGGTACTCCAACATATCCAAAGGGCATCAACATCTGAAGATGACATGTAAAGGGTCTCTCCTCCTCAGATCGGGTTGGGACCAATTTTATTTTGTTCACCACAAAAAATAAGCATACCCGTATTTTTTCATTTTTCCTAATGCGCTAATTTGAGCGCGAGGCGCGAATTTTAAAACATTTTTCAGCCAAAACCTCGGTTTTTAAAAATTCTGCAAATTTTCGAATTTTCGCGCGAATCCAAAAATTCGAAAACATAGCTCTTCAGAATGACTTACTTGACTTGTAAAAAATCCATATGCAGTATTTTTTTAAAAATTAAAAATTTGAAAGAGTTTATAATTTTAATGAATTTCAAAAACTGGCAAAAAATTTTGAAATTCAAATTTCGACACAATTGGATTTTTCATAAGTCAGGTAAGTCATTCTGAAGAGACATGTTTTAGAATTTTTGGATTCGCGCGAAAATTCGAAAATTGACAGAATTTTTAAAAACCGAGGTTTTGGCTGAAAAATGTTTTAAAATTCGCGCCTCGCGCTCAAATTAGCGCATTAGGAAAAATGAAAAAATACGGGTATGCTTATTTTGTGTGGTGAACGAAATAAAATTGGTGCCAACCCGATCTGAGTTGTACACGTGAGAGACTTGCATTGTTAGCTGCTTCTAGAATTAGTACGACGAAATATAAATGCATCTCTTTCCATGGAAAAGACGAGTCCGTAAATTATTAAGAAAAACATGACAAAATACTGCGCAAATTTGTGAAAACATGTTGAAAATTATAATCAGGTTTGCCAAATTTCGCAAGCTGTTTTTATCCTCAGTTTGCACCACATTTGCTACGGCTGTCCAACACTTGACACTAAAGTGTTTAGTATGTACAGATGTTTATATTGGGGTGTTATAACTTAGAAACCAGTCTGATCGACTGATTGTGAATAACAATTGGATAAAGGTAAATTAAATTGAAATTTTTGTACATAGATCCAAACTTTTCCCGAGCTTCCCGTCATGTCGAAAGTTACCAGGCTCTCCATGAAAGCCGTAAATGCGTACCGAATTCTTGGCTTCTTTGATGAGAACCACTTCCCAAAATTGAAAACCCTCTCGGTCAAGAACAAATCAGGATGTACGATGATGTCCTCCGATTTAGAATTGTGGAGGCGTCACAGTGGAGTTGAGTTTCTCGCGTTGACCATGAATTTCTCCGAGGACGAGGAAGAATTTGCTGGAACAATGGTCCAACTATTCCCTGCCGTTAAAGAATTCGACTTGACGATGAAGGAGGTGCGGTCTTATGCCATTCCTGCCATCGACTTCGATATGAAATTGTTTAAAATGTGGGATCTGGAACGGGTCAACGTCGTCGTGAAAAAGTCCCGAGTGTTGATTCAAGTCCTCAGAGCTGTGTCCGTTTTGAAAGCTAAGTAAGTTATAATCGCTAATTCGAAATCTGGTGCAGTTAGGTAGGTATGGATTTCTCTGTGTTAAAGTTGATACACTCTAAGAAACCCGGTAACTAAATTATTACCGGGCGGAGGATCTAAATATGTGACTCTTCCGCATGGTAATTAATTTATTATTGAGCGGTAGACATTTTATTCTCAAGCCGGTAATAATCCTTGTCGCGAAATTTGAAAATATTACCAGTTGGTAACTAATTTTCTACCACTCAATAATAAATTAATTACCATGCCGTAGAGTCACAGAAATTCAGCAAAGATTTTCTACCGATAAGGTTAGACTGAAATATCTAGTTATTACAATACCGTAATACTTACTCTCTAAATAAATAAAAAATGTGTAAAATTTACATAAGGTTTAGTAGAAAAGAGGATGACACAACAAAAAGTTAAAATTTATCCAACGGTGTGCAAAATTTATCAGCCCGGGGGGCCAATTTTGCACTTGTGCAAAATTTGTACCATCCTCTTTTTTACTCAACCCTGAGTAAAGTTTACGCTTTTTTATTCAGAGTGTATTAATACTACTTTGGTACAGCCATACATATGCATATCAATACCACGTGATATTTTTTATTCCTGGATTTCTAACAGTATATTTACTAAACGATTATGATACTAATAAAAGGTCGTGATCCTTTCAGGAATTAAAAGTGTCCAGTTCCTGGACACAAATTAAATTTTCACCCCACATTAAGGATTTTATCTTGTTGGGTAGAGGATTTAAAAGCGTAGAAATCTCGGGAACTATGGTAACTCGCGCAGTAAAATAATTTGCAAAGTTGTCCTACATTTAGCTTCATAATTACTCAGGTACCGGAAATTGTGGAACGAATACGACCCATCTTTGAAGCCAGTGGTGCACCCATTCAGTTCACGGGAGGTGTGATTCACGAGGAAGTGGACATTGCAGATCTGTAGAATGAGCCGGAATAGTCTATTTCAAACTATGCATGTAGAGTTGATTTATGTAAATATGTAGGAATGCGTAGTGATAATAATAAGTCTTTATTGTCAATAGATAACATGCTGATTTCCAACATTAACTTACAGTAATGAGAAAAATATCATGTATGTATGTACATACGAATGTGCACAGACCTATAAAGACCTCAAATGTTTAATATACAAGAGAAGTAAATATCCTATCTTAAACTGTGTCGAATGCGTCTTGAGAAGAAATTTGTGCACACAAATTAAAAGAAATCCGTGGGTATAATAAATAAGGGAATTTTTGCTAGACTTTTTTAAAACTTGAAACAGTAATTGGTTACAATGCAAATTGTGGTATTGTGGTAAATTTGGGTCTATTATATTGCGAACCGCACCCCATTTCCCCTTCTTTCGTCGTACCCCATTTCACCCATTTTTGTGACAAGCCATTCACCCATATATGTTTAAAAACTTCAAACGAATTTGAAACATACCTGTTCAAAAAAACTTTTTTCATTCACAGTTAAGTCATTTCGATTTCTGAGTGAAGATCTTCATTCACATTCAGGTCATTTTCGTTCAAACTCATTTCATTACACTTCACTTCATCTGACTTCATTTCTTCGCCTTCTGTACTCATAAAGCATAGAGTGAAACGGAAAAGGAGTGAGACATCCTTTCAGTTACAATCACTCATCTAGAATGAATGAATATTTCACTCATTTTCATTCAAATCGCAGGAAATTCATTTTCATAATCAGTCACATGAATAAAAGTGAACAGGCCCGATTTGATACACGTTGTTCAAAACCGAATGAGAAAAATTCAATCCACAAACAAAATACTTATGTACACATAGATCGGAGTACTCCAGGCTTGGAATACGCACTCCGGCCTCCGGAGGCCGGAGTACGCAGCCTTTTCTGGAGGCCGGAGTACGCGGAGGCCGGAGTACACGTGGCCAGCCGGAGGCCGGAGTACGCGGAGGCCGGAGTACACGTGGCCAGCCGGAGGCCGGAGTACGCGGAGGCCGGAGTACGCAAAATATCCGATCTATGCATGTACAACCAACCCGGTAAGAATTTATTACCAAATCATTTCATCAGTGTATATATGCACTCTAAATAATTTGGAGACAAATCGTCACCCAACGGAGGTACTATAGTGCTTTATTTTTTGATAATGATTTAGGAGACGTTATGTCACCAGGGGGAGATAAGTCAAAAACTCATGCATCAAGCACACGTGACGTTGCCATTTAAAAAATTCAATACTGTCATGTAAAAAAGTCTTACATACATATTTGCAAATAAAAATGTTCAATTTTTTAAATTACGACACATGGTGTGTTTAATACACGATTTTTGGCTTATCTCCATCTGGTGATAAAACGTCTCCTAGATCGTTACCCAAAATAGAGCACTATGTATATTACCTCCGCGGGTGACGATTCGGCTTAAAATTATTTACAGTGTACAAAGGAGTCATTGTTGTCCCATCCCACTTTGTGGAGGATATTAGTATCACTTTTAAGTGCAAGGAAATACATATATATCTGTATGTAGTTATGCATTTGTTGCCATGGCGATTAACTGTTAGGATTCTAGACGACAGGATTATGTACGTATTTACACAAGAACCTTTTGTATCGATCCATACTCAGTAATCTAGCCGTCCATTAACTCGTGCACGAGTTGGACTCATGTCCAGCTTAATAGATAATATTGATGTACGTCAAACGTCACGGAACGTACGAAGCACATGTCATACATAGTTCCTTAACAATTAGAAAGGTAATCTAATCTGATTTCCAGGATGATAGATAAATAACACGAATATGTTCATATGTTGTTACGCATTCGAAAAAATTAATGATGCGGCGAGCAGAAAAACTGATCATACAATGCGTGGATGTCCCCTTGGAAAGGGACGCTCCCTAGCTTATCCTTTGATAAATATCTATATTTGATAAATATTTGATAAATATCAGTCCTCCTTTGATAAATATTCCCTGTCGTTGCTTAACCCTCGTCATAGGAAGACGAACGTTTCTAAATCTCCCAAGGATTAGGCAACTGCTTCGTTGAAATATTGCACTGTAATTACTTACAATGGAACCTTTTTTCAAGCTACAAGAGATAAGCTTAGTGACTTATGCTAAAAAATCAAGCTAAAAATTAGAAATGACGTGGTACTTATCTTTCCGTTGAATGGGCACTTTGAGGTCAAATATTTGAGGGCAAAGTTCACAGTAGCGGCATGTTTTTTTCTCAAGCGGGCGAGCGGAGGAGTGAAAATTTTCTCCTTCGAGGTCACTCCGCTTCCTTCACTCTCACACGCTCACACTTTATTCAATGCATATTATTTTTGACAAAATTTCACAATCTCGTAAATTGCTTCATACATTCATATAATTTTATATTTGCTTTTTAAAATCCTACGATCCACCGATGCGTAATAAAAAAGTGACGATGGGTTCAATAAATTATAACTTATAATTTATGAAATATAGCGTATATTTATAGCAAATATAAAATTATATGAATGTATGAATCAATTTACGAGATTGTGAAATTTTGTCAAAAATAATATGCATTGAATAAAGTGTGAGCGTGTGAGAGTGAAGGAAGCGGAGTGACCTCGAAGGAGAAAATTTTCACTCCTCCGCTCGCCCGCTTGAGAAAAAAACAGGCCGCTACTGTGAACTTTGACCTCAAATATTTGACCTCAAAGTGCCCATTCAACGGAAAGATAAGTACCACGTCATTTCTAATTTTTAGCTTGATTTTTTACCATAGGTCACTAAGCTTATCTCGTGTAGCTTGAAAAAAGGTTCCATTGTTAGTGGGCAAGGAAGGTAGGATTATCATATTAATAACAATAAATGCTTTATCTTTTAAACCACAGCGTATTTATAATCCACATGAATTATAAGAACGAAAGCGATTTCGTTTCGCATCATGAGTTTTCAAAATTTGTACAAGTTTAGGTATTTTAAGTAAAAAAAAGAGTACATAGCTACTCTAAATTCATGCAGGATTTAATGTTTACAGAAATTGAAAATTCTGAGAAACTACGCCACTGCTAAATAGTCTCAAATTTTCCCGTTAACTCGATTTTAGGGAATTTGAGACTGATAGTGGCATGGTTTCTCAGAATTCTCAATTTCTTTAAAAGTTTAACCCTGCGTGGATTTAGACATAAAAAAATATCTGAATAATTCATCAAAGTTTTAAGTTTGTACCGTTTCGTTTCTTCATGCTTCGTGCATGCATTTTTTATTATGTACGAATGACGTGTTAATTTCATTTTGTGTGTCCTTTCCAGGTACGGGCGACGCACTAACTCGATTCCAACATGCAGAACGTTGCGGAATTTAGTGACAAAAATATCAAGCTGCGGTCAACCCATTCAGAAGATGAGAGGTCAACTCTTTCTCCAGATTTTGGTAAATATCTGAATCTATTTAGAAATATTTTATCTTAACAATTAATCTTTTCTTTAGTATCAGAGTATTCACTCGTTTTACTTAATTTCAGATTCGGACAACGCACGTGTCAACTCCATGTCGAAGGTTGTAACGAATCCGTTGGTTAGTTACACGCATAATTACACACATTTGTTCAAATTAATAAATAATTGATTACCCTGCCCGCTTAATTAAACAACTTTGAATTTTTTTGCCAGATTCTCAAAGCTATTTTTGCCAAGCTCAGCCTCCCCGATTTGAAGACGTCTCGTCTCGTCTGTCACGACTGGAACGACGTCGCCTCCACCGTACTAGGAAAACGGGTTTATTTCCAGCTCAACAAGCTTTTTTCCTGCGAAATCTCCAACTCTAATGAGGTGCCCCCCGTCAACGACCAACTGACGCGACGCCTCCTCATCTCCGACAAGTTCGACCGATCCGTTGGGTCGGACAAGCTGAATGCTGACGTTATCGCAAAAGGGCTCACCCACGTGTCCGGATTAACTCATGAAATCAAATTTCTCGCCGCCGAGAAGGAATTTATCCCCGCTTTCCTCGAAGGAATTAGCACCTTGGGGTCCACAAATATCCAGCGCATTGACATCCGCAGCGCCTGGGAACCCCACATTGACTTCACAATTCCAGCCGAGGCGTGTCTCAAGCTCCCCCCGCAACCTGCCTTGACCTCGCTCAGGTTCCATGTTAAGCCAATCTTTCGACTTGACTACACCACCGTCGGCCTGGAATTTCAATCCCTTACTAAAACCTGGCTCGATTCTGCGCCCAATTTGACCACGCTGGATATCGCGGCGTTTCTCTGTCCGAATTTGGAGGGGTGCAGGAATCTCAAAGTGCTGAAATTTAAATTCTTAATGTGCTATGGGCATGCACGTAACCCCAACTACTTGGGCAATGTGATCAAGATGCTGGGACAGGTGAAGGATTCTTTGATCGAGCTGGAATTGTCCCAGGCTAAGAGGCAGGGCGGTGAGGTGGAGGAGGTAAGGGTTTAATTTCATTTTGGAATTTTACACACGGCAATGTACAAGTTTTCAATAAGCAACTAATATATTTACATATTTGTTAAACTCAAAAAACATGATTTCGCTAAGCTATTGGGTATGTGTGCGGACCTGCAGGTTACTTTCAATGAATTTACGTACAGGGTGGTTTAAAAGTCAGGTTACAATGGAAAATTTTTCAATGGGAAAAATTCGTAAATTTCCATTAGTTACGGATTTGGGCTTTTTATTAATTTTTATCAAAACTTATAGAACACTGATGACAAAATTCTTAAAATATTGAATTTCAGAGGTAAAATTAATGATAGAGATTTGCGAATTTTTCCCATTGAAAAATTTTCCATTGTAACCTGACATTTAAACCACCCTGTTTGTATGTATGTGCAACTCGTTTTATGTAAACGACGAGTCAGTGAATTTTTACGAAAAACATGGTCAAATAGGTAGCAAATTTGCGAAAAATTAATTGAAAACTATTTACAAGTAATACAAGTAGCTTTGCTACATAAATTTGGCTAATTAAATAGGTTTTGATGCTCAGTTTGTGAGACATATTCTAACACTTGCTTGATATTTATTGCCGATCCTAAACAGATCCAAACTTTTGCCAAGCTTCCCGTCCTACCAAAACTTACCAGGCTCTCCATCCGCGCCATAAATGCGTACCGGATTCTTGGCTTCTTTGATGACATCCACTTCCCAAAATTAAAAACCCTCTGGGTCCAGAACAAAGCAAGATGTTCGATGTCATACGATCTAGAAGTGTGGAGGCGCCACAGCCGAGTGGAATTTCTCGCGTTGACCGTGGATTTCTGGTGGGGAAAGGAGGGGAAATTACCTGAAAAAATGATCCAATTATTCCCCGCCGTTAAGGAATTCGACTTGACGATGAAAGAGATGTGGTCTTTCCCCATTTCCTCCGTCAACCGGGGTATGAAATCGTTCAAAATGTGGGACTTGAAACGGGTCAAGGTCCTCGTGAAAGAGTCCTCGGAGTTGATTGAAGTTCTCAGAGCTGTGTCCCTTTTGAAAGGTAAAATCAGTCCAGGAAAAATAAAGTTCGAAATACACTGTTAGAAATCTGGTATGGGATCGTACATAAATTATGTCACGGAAAAATCATTAAATTTCTAGACTCCCCCTCACTCAACATGTTTCACAGAGGGGCATCGTTTGGTATTTAAATTTTACGGGTCTATCCTAATTTGTTACCAATATTTATATCAATACTGCGTGACATTTTTTAATACTGGATTTCTAAGCATGTACTAAACGATTATAATATTAACAACATATACTCGTAATAATTTCAGGAATTAAAAGTGTCCATTTCTAGGACACTAGTATCACGGAAAATAAATTTTCTCCCCACATTCAGGATTTCATCATGCTGAGCAAAGGATTTAAAAGAGTAGAAATCTCGGGAACCGTGGTATGTAACTCGCTCAGGGAAATAACTTGCATGCCCAAAGTTATCCATATTTAGCTTCCTAAGTACTCAGGTACCGAAAATTGTGGAACGAATACGACCCATCTTTGAAGCCAGTGGTGCACCCATTCATTTCACGGGAGGGGTGGTTCACAAGGAAATCGACGTGTTTTAAGAGACCAGATTTGATTGGTAGAATGAGTAGAAATAGGCTATTTCAAACTATGTATGCAGAGTTAACATATGTAGGAATGTGTGGTGATAATAATAAGTCTTTATTGTCATTAGATAACAACTTGATAACATGCTGATTTCCAACATTAACTTAAAGGGTGTAAATTTAATCCGGTAACACGGATTTTTAGATCCCCGCTCGAGACAAAATCAGTCATAATTATTGATCCCGCTGATGTTTTTCTTTGAAATTTTTTCCATCGGTGGAGTGAACATAGGTGTTAATAAAAAACACCATGAAATTGAGGTGCAGGTCTTAGAAGCGGGAAATTCAAACTAATAATGAAAATCATCCAAAATTTGGATGTGCCGGAAAAAGTCCGTGTAAATGCGGGAAGAAAGTTTTTTTGAAGGATGAAAAATGACCCAAACAATCCAAAAGGGTCCCACCTACCAGAAAATCAATGACTATACTCAGATTTCCTTAGTTAACTTGAAGTCTTTGTCCAAATAGTGGAATGGAACGGAAAAGCGTAAAACGGATTAAATTAAAATCGTGCACAAATAGCCCATTGTGGTGAAAACTACCGTCGGATCAGCATTATGTGTTGACCGAACTTATAATCTAACCAATTAAAATCATCTGTCATCTGAAAATAGTGATGACCATGTTGCATTGACATGAAAGCTATGAAATAATTGGAATTTGACGGCTTCAGGAATTTTGTCGCCATATCCTCTGGACCAATAACTCGCAAATTGAGTTCTATCCTAAATTACACTGACAAAATTGAACATACAGAACAGCAAAGAAATTAAACCAATCGTTGATAGGGGTCCTGAAATTAGGGTATGAAGTTATGGTACACTGCAAATAATTTGGTGTAAATCCAGTCCGGTGTAGCCACATATGCACACCGTGCGGTAGCAATCCGGGTAAATTAACACCGGCGGTGTGCATATGTGGCTACACCGGACTGGATTTACACCAAATTATTTGCAGTGTACCTAGTGGGTTTTGAGCACGACGAAAATCATCTTGCACAGTGCATGAAGCATAACCTTCAGGGCATAATCGAAGCACGTGGTGAAAAGACTAAATAGTAAGGTAACTTCTGAGGAAAATTGGTTTTTCTAATATCTGCAGTTTCGAAAAACAAGCATTTTCTTTGCAGTGAAAAAGGTTACCGGATTAAATTTACACCCTTTATAATGATGAGAACAAATTATGTATGTACACTCTCAATAATTTTTTGATGAAATTGTTACCGGCGGAGGTACTATGAAATTCTACCGCTCGGGTAATAATTTATCACCGAAACAAAACATATATACAGAGGTTAAATCCTGCTCAGCCTAATATGTCAAAGCTCAGGTAAAAAAAATATTACCGATACCGGAGGAAATTTCTTACCCTCAGAAGACAATTTGTTACTATACTGTTACCACGCGGTAGAATTGCATAGTGTCTCCGCCAGTAACAATTTTGTAAAAAAATTATTGAGAGTGTACATATGTGAAAAGACCTATGTATAAAGACCTCAAATGTTTAATTAATTACAGAGGAAGTAAATATCCCATCTTGAACTATGTCGAACGCGTTTGGAGAATAAATTTGTGCACAAAAATTAAAAGAAATCCTTCGGTACAATAAATATTTTAAGAAAGTTTGCAATTATGAACTTCATTTACAGTTAAGTTAATAGGGAATTTTTGCTAAACTTTTTTTAAGCTTGAAACAGTAATTGGTCATGCAAGGTTACAATGCAAATTGTGGTATATTTACCTGGGTCCAGTATATTGCGAACCGCACCCCATCTATCCATTTTGTAAATATCTATTTAAAAACTTGAAACGAATTTGAAACATATGTACCTGTTCAAAAAAACTTTTTTCATTTACAGTTCAGTCATCTCGATTTCTGACTGTAGATTATCATTCACATTCAGTCATTTTCTTTCAAATTCATTTCATTTCACTTCTCTTCACTTCATCGGACTTCATTTCTTACTTCGCCTTATGTATAAAGCATAGGGTGAAAAGGAGTGAGACATCCTGTCAGTTACACTAGAATGACTGAATTTTTCAATCATTTTCATTCAAATCACAGAAAATTCATTTTCATAATCGGTCACATGAATTAAAGTGAACAGGCTTAATTTGATACACGTCGTTGAAAACTGTATGAGAAAGATTCATTCCACAAAATATGTACAACCAAGCCGGTAAGAATTTGTTACCAAATCATATCATCAGTGTATATATGTATATGGAGTATGTGTGTACCACATACGTATATATGTATGTGGTCCTCCCAGATTTCTCATAGTGTTCGCATAATATGTATGAACATTTCCTTGATCGATATCCAGAATTCTATTCTTAACTTTAAACTCGAGTTCAAATTCCGGCTTAAAAATGTGTCAAATGTGAGAGAGTGTGCAATGAATACACGTTATTATTGTTTAACTGTAAGAAAGGTACCCTAACATATGTGCAAGATAATCGCAGTTTTCCAGAATGATAAGCAGTCCGACTATGTGTCGTAAACCTGCAGTTAAGCATGGGGTAAAAAGAAGGTTGTTGATCAGCAGAAACAAATTAAGGCATATAAACAGTAGTATTCTTGGATGCACCTTCAAGAAGGGACGCTGCCTTCTCCAGCCCTTCTCGGGTAAATATTTATAGAAAGTCACGCCGACTTCTCCACTCATGCTTGCATGCATAAATATTTCTGTCGTTGCCTAACCCTCGTCCAGTAAAGGCATACTTTTCCTATCTCCAAAACTTTAAAATTTCACATCGAGATAATATTTTAACCATATTTCAATTAGTGCGACTAGTAATGGAAGATTGATAATTGGTACTAACATGCAGCCTTTTAAGACTGGTAAGCTCAACAAAAATTTATTTGCTACTTTATTTAATTAATTTTTGTGAATAAGTTTATCATAAATTTGAAGGCTTAAATGTTTGTATTTAAAATAGTTGGGTTACTTTATAAGCAAATTAAAATCAGTAAATAAGTTTCTCACAAACATTGATGTATTTATGTATTTACATGCTTACGTACCACTAGTAACGTCGCCGATTAAATTGATGTAATCCTAAAACCAAAAAAAGTTTTAAAGTTTATGGTATTGCAATTTCTTAAGCTGATTTACTCCAATGAGCCAAAAGTAATTATATGTTTCATGTTATATGCAAATCCACTTACAATGGAACCTCTTTTCAAGCTACACCGGGATTGACTAATGAGTTATATCAAAAAATCAAGCCCAAAATTAGAAATCACATGGCGCTTATCGTTTCGTTGAATGGCCGTTTTGAAGAAAAATATTGGCGGTTAAGTTCAATTTTTGAGCAAATTTTCTTTCTCTTTTCCTCCACAAGGCGAAAACCCACGGCGCTCGTGAGGACTTTGACCCCCAATATTTTTCTTCAAAGGGGCCATTCAACGGAACGATAAGCGCCATGTGATTCCTAATTTTTGGCTTGATTTTTTGATGCAACTCATTAGTCAATCCCGGTGTAGCTTGAAAAAAGGTTCCATTGTTAGAGGGGTCGCCCCGGGAAGTGGTGATGTGAAATTTGCCCCTGAAAATGGTCAAAAAATGATTCCAAAAATGCCAAAATGATGAAGTATATTTGAAATATATCTATCGTGAGAAATCCGCAGACAGCGACTACTTAAGTCCATTATCCATCATGTATTTAACTATTTTTATGACGCCCACCATTAATGTTTTTCCGAAAGACTTTGCAACTTCATTGTTAGTTTCCACAGACCGGAACTTAAATTTTTTTAAAGTATCGCCTGTTTCACAAACCTTGGAGTATTTCGACTTGGATAAAGTCCAAATTCTAATTTTGGGGTGAAGATGATGGGCGTTTGAGAGACCTTCATCTTCCAACCCCAAACTGACATTTTTGTCAATTTATTCCTTCGCAGATATTGCGTGATGAATGATCGCAAAGTTCGGGCCAAAATATTACATTTTATGTTTTTGATACTCCGTGATGAAAGGAATCGGACGGTCCGTCTCGCATTTCTGAAAATAATCCTGTACGCCCACACAGCCCGTTTGAACTTAAGGGTCCCAAAAATATCCAAATTGGACCAACGCCGACCAAATCTGGGATATCTTAGAAATTTCAAAAACAAAATTTATTTCTCTGAGGTTTTCAGTTTAGAGATATATTTACCATGCATAAATTGCTTTCCCGGAATTTCTATCAAGTTTTTGAAGACGTAGGACTCGTCGCCATTGCCCAACTGTTTTGGTCAAATTTTGTTGTAAGGTTTGGGAAGTTTTGCGTTCACCATTTTTTCTTGGCCTTTCGTATGTTTTGTTGCAGATCTTTTTCCATACACCTTGGCCCACAATTTATGGGCCTTAATATGATACAAATAGCTCATATTAATCTTTGACCTCACGGCCGCATCATGCACAAACGTGGAGAGGTACTTTCCAAAAATAAATTTAATCGTTTTTCATCTTCAAGAGGTCAGTATGATGGTTTTTTCTTGTGGTGCGTACTTGAAGTTGATATTTTCGGATTCGCCACACTTTTTTATGTATGTCCTAATTTTTGCACGGCCACACCCTTCTCTGTTGAAATGTGGTAAAGACTTCTTTGAGTCTTTGTAACTCGAATTTTGGTACTTACCAAAAATTCGTTTCCCGACTTCCTCGCTTTGAAGTTGTGTACGAAATTTGTTTTTCAAGGAAAGCTTATGAAATTTTGAGGGTACGTGGTTGAATATATTTGTAGTAGTATACAAAAAAATAAAAACTTTGAAACCATGGTTTACTACCCTGCTACTAATTACAAACTGACCACCACTTCCCGGGGCGACCCCTCTATTTATATTGCAGGTTCTCCATCAACTTTCACCGTTGAAAATTTAGCCTCAAAATCCCGTACATCTTCATCTCTACGCATTTATCTAGCTATCGTCTTATTTTCGATAAACGGTAATAAATTCTAAACTAATTTGCAACAATAATTATGTATTTAGGTAATCCTAATATACATATGTGAAATTAAGATATTTTTGTTGCACTTTTCAGTCGCCGTGGAAAAAATTTATTTAAATGACATCGACCCCAATGGATTAAAGTAATCGACTACCAGTTGTCACCCTACCGTAATGATCCGTTACCTGTACAAGACAAGGAGCAAGAATTCCATGTCACCTGATTAGGTCAACTACCCGACGATGCAACCATATTTCCAGGTCATGAATTTTACTAGAGACATATTCTTCAAGCCAAATGTTTATTTTTAGATCTAGTTACTTTAGAATATGCATGTCAAAATGTACTAATTCACTAAATCTTATCCTTAGTTACACTTGCTCCATTTAAATTAATTTGACTAAAGAGTTTGTTTGTTTGTTTGTTTGCCTTTATTTCACGTGCCATACAACCTATCAGTACAAAATTAGACTGGTCTCCCTAGGGTGACACGACTGACCACATTATTATTAATTAATTAAATGATTAAAACTAAAATATAACTAAAATCTTAACCAAAATCATACAATTATGACCTCTTATCTATTAACCACTGATTAACGGATTTTCTGAAGTTGAGACTTTTGTCATCGATATCACAAAACTCTCGGGGAAGAGAGTTCCAGTCTGGAATTAATTTAAGAAAACTCACCTTAAATACTTATTCATTAGGAAAAACATAAGTAAATATGTTCGTACTCATGGTTCGTTGAGACTATGGAATATAAGCTCTAAATCTATTCATATTTCAAGTTCTTGAGAATGACGACTCAAACTAGTTTTCAGTCTCTCTAATCTCCGAGGACGATGTTATACTCCGCCAAAAGCGGCATTTATAATTCCACAACCCCCACCCAAAAGTTGTTGCCAGTTCTTCCTTAGTTACTGCTGCTCATGAATATTTTACGTTTTCATATGGGTCTCCTTCTGTATATCTGAATTATTCATTTCGATTCTCAAAGTAGGAGAGGTCATGGAATTTTCCAACAATAGTTATCCATTGGATTTGTATTCAAAGGACTCAGATAAGAAGGATTTTCACATTTTCGGAACGAATTTACGGTTCCGAAAATTAAATTTACGATGTTTAACAGTTCGAATTGATGAGAAATGACTAGGAAAATTGCGATGGATTAGACCGAATATGTATAGAAATATATATGTCCATTTTTACTGCGTTACTTATTCAAAAATGACGTACTTATCCCAACTGCAAGAAATTGGCTTAACTTTCTCGCATATGCATAATTCTAGTGTAGTACGAAAGTGGGTGAAATGCATAGTACAAATGTAAACTAAATGCATGGGGTCGAATTCAGCAATCTTGTTGAATATTCATCTTCGTGAAGGATTTCATGTCGTAAATGAGGTAAATTTGCGAGAAGGAACATTTACAACAAATTTGTGCAAGGAAAGATTAAATATGCTTGGATTTTCCTGAAATGAAAATATGTACATGGGAAAATCCGAAATCTTGATTTTTCTATTTTACTGCTAGGCTGACCAAACTTTACGCGTGGAAACCTATGAAGTAGAGCACCTTCAAATAAAAAATTAAAAGTTAACTTTTGTTAACCTTAGTTCTACATATTACTCATCGTTACTAAGATTTTTGAAAGTCATCTTTTTGCAGCCTTCTTAAAATTACAGAAATCGATACACTGTAAGTATTGATTATGAATAAAGGGTTAAAAAATATGGTAATTTTTTATTCCCTGGCCCAGTTTATTAAAAATTTTGAACAATCTTTTCCAAGCCTGGAACCAGTCGTACGGTTTTTCTCACTCTGCAAAGTATTTAGTAGGATAAACATTGTGATAAACCAGGTACTTTTGCCCCTGCAATTTCAAATGTTTCACCTGCTGCATATTGAGCAAGGAATTCTGCGATTAATTGCACAGGTGTAAATTACTATTGTCTCCTATAGCAAATGCGACAAAACCTTTTTTCTCAAATGGAAGGATTTTTAATTTCTCAACTAATTTTACTCATCGCACTTTTAAATGAAAGTTGAACGATTTTTTTTACATTTTAATTAAGTTAATTATTTTAATAAAGTAGCCGTGATCTACATACATACTCACATATATTTTAATTTTTACAAGTCAAGAAGCCACCATGGTAACGGTGCTTCTTGAAGAACTAAACAAATGGTAAGAAATCTGGAGCGTGAGAAGCAGGGTTACAAGTGATATATATCACTGAGTGAGATTTAGTGAGATTTAATGATATATATCAATCATCTCACTTGGGGCTGAGTGAGAAATATGAGAAATAATGAGATAAACTTGTAGTTCATGACCACATCCTCTAGGTGGCGCTAGTGCATGGCTCATAAATCTCACTAAATCTCATATTTCTCATGTCTCACTATTTCTCATTATATCTCAGTGGGATGAGATTTACGAGGGTGAGATGAGATTTCTGCAACCCTGGTGAGAAGGCCATTATGATTTAGAACCGCTATAATTAAACGAAAAAGTTGTCCCCCGTTGTCACTTTTCAGACCGTTGTGGAATGCTTATTTAGGTCCTTTTTTTTACTATAACACCAGTCAGTGTCTGATGTTCCATAAATTCGTGGCAAATGGGCACAGTTCGCTGGGGCCCCGTGTCCCTGACCGGTTTGAAAATACTGATAAGAAACTAAGGAAATTTTGTATTTTTTACGCATAACCCTTATTCTGTGCAAGGTAAATTGGCGTCGAATGGTTAACCGACAAAGGTTTAAAACGTTTATATTATTTAATAGCATAACTTCAAAAATTGACGGAAGAACTGGCCGGATGCAGTTTTTGCAGTAGTTTGATTTATCCTGTTTGAGTTAAATAACATCTAAATTGATAATTTGTTCGTCAGCCAAATGTTAAGTCATCCCGACAAGATGATCGCCATTGTTAAGTTCGCATCACATCGGGATAAATTTGCGATAGATTTAAAACATGTAAAATTATTAATCAAGATGAGAGCAAATCTTGTAGAAAAATGAACCCAAAATGTTATATCTCAGAATTTTTGAAATTAAAATTAGTAGGTAAAATTTGGCAAAATTTCTGAACAGAATTTAAATTAGGTGTGATTCTTTGAATTCGCTTCGAGATCTAACAAATTTTGAAATTAATTAATGAATTTAAAACATTTTGGGGCCCCCACTCGTGATGGCCCTGAAAAAGAAAAGGCTATGCCTACATATTCCTAGTTCCGCTTGTGGTCTTACCTAAATATAAAGGATTTGAAATATTGTAAATTTGTATTTCCTTGCCAGGTTTATTGATAATTTTGGATAAATTTATCGTTTAAAATTGTAACGCATGAAAAGTTACAGTTGCGTCTCCGTACATGTTTATTTAATCATTTCGGCCCCAGGTCAACAGATTAAATAATAAAGTTATTACCTCTCGAATACAGACAAACTCAATCGGGACAAGCGGTATGTGCAAAAAGAGTTTTGTAGAGTAGAAAATATTCCTGAAGTTTAGAAATATGTATTATCAGGAATCCTAGTAATAAGTTTTACATCTTAGGTTTCGAATTAAATAAATAAGATCTTACTAATTACATTCACACACATTTTTAGAAAATCATTCTATGTAGAAACCAAATATTTATAACTAAATATGTAAATAATATTGGACATAAATGAATTTAAAATCCTTTACAAGTATATTGCAAATATATTATATTATACTTTATTGTTTATATTTAAAATTTATATTCATAAATTTATTTAAAATATACACATACATGTATCTAATTTTACAAATCAATAAAAATATTTTTCAAATTTCATTGAATTAAGCATTTGATTCGAAACAGAATCTTAATTTGCGTCATTTCCTCGGTCATTTATACTTTTGTTTTTCATTATTTTTATTCCGACAATTTAAACAATAAATAATTGAAAAACACGATTTCTTAATTTATGTATCCTGTCACAAACACGACAAAATAAAAGGATGTGCATCCCTTTTAGTTTTATACTGGAGACAGTCACGCATTACTTATCGTGAAAAAAATCCAGCAAAAATTTTAAAAAATCCAGTCAAAATTATAAAAAATAAATTTGACAAGAATGATTAAGTCTGCTATCACCTGGATTTTCGTCGTTATCATGGCTATCTGTATTAAGAACTCGGTAATTCTGACTTAAATTAGTAAATTTAGGAAACATTATTTTTTTAATTTACAAATTTAATTTTGATAATTATTCTAGTCCGGAAGAGCGATGTCCAAAAGGAGATTAACGCTCATTCCACGTGTAACGGTCAGTCGGTCATTTTTCCTGCGCAGACCGTCACGAGTGCCCTCTTCGCGGGGATTGGTTGTGCGGATGTTGAAGACGAATATGTAATTTTTTGCAAATTTTTGTTCATTATGCACTCTTAGAAATCTGGTAGGTAAAATCCCTCATCGGATTCCTTCGTTATGATTTAGTGTGCTAAATTATGCGTCATCCGGAACGTGGAGGGGACCATGAAGGGGAATAAATTGAACATGAACTGGTTCAAGGATCAAGTGAAGAATACAATGATCGGAGGAAACAATGAGGACGCTAGGGCAGAAATTATTAAGGGATTTGATACTTGTGGAAAGGATGGTAATACAAAAAAATACAAAATTTTGGAGTTTTAAGTGTCAAATTTTTGGCGTCAATTTTTTGTTATTTTTTAAAATTGTGATAACGGCGTAATTGATTTTTTTCTTTTGTTTCCCCAGATTTGGATATGCCACCCTCTTCACAAACTACGTCATGCCTCGCCTTTAAAAATTTTAATATTTGTGCAGACAAGTTTTATGATTCGGCGTGTAAAAAGAAATAATATTTTTGTTCGGGAATAATAAAAATATGGAAATTGACGGCACTTTGGTTTAGCAAATTTGCAATGACTATTCTCTTTTATTGCATGTCACTATGTTAACCTTCATAATTTTTAAATTAAAAGGGTCAGCAAATAAATAAGAACTCCCTGGTCAGGTGGTTTAGTTCTGTCATACATAGATATTTTAAGAGATTATGCAAATACGTAGTCATACAGAAATCACATCCTTTGTGGTCATCACAGTACACAAAATAAAACATTTTATGAACTTGCATAATAAAATACGCAATTCAACCAGGCGAATTAAAAACACGTTGATAAAAACTACATGCCAAAATTCATACCCGTTCTCGAGATATTATGATTCAGACGGAAAGAAAACAAAACCATAAAACGAAGATTCACCCCTCAATAAATGAACAATTATAGTACATGCGTACACGCTAGTAAATAATGTTTCCTGAAGAAAAGTAAATGCACCCTCAATTTTACATTAAGCTAGTATATCCAGGGTAAACTTTATTCAAGTGAACAGTGTTACATAACTTAACAATACACTGGATTTATGTAGGTAGTATACCTCATTTAGAATTGAGAGTGCGTTTACTCTACTTTTACAAAAGGCCTTTTTGAAAAGGGCAACATTATTTGTAACAGTGATACAAATCTATGCGCACTTGCTACCATGACCTCACCTAAATAGTGATATGGAGCTGTTTAAGACGGAAGTACTGTGTATGTACATAACATTTGTGTACATTTGAACCTTTCTCTTTGTGGATATTCAGAATCCTTTTCTGAACTTGGGTCCAAATTCCGGCTTAAAACTAAGGAGGGGAGCTTGCGAGGTTGATAATAACAGATCTTGATGCCCTTTGGATATGTGGTAGGGACCCATGAGTGTACTATAACCCTGAAGTGGTTTGACTCCATGGCCACATTTACGCCCGGCACACCCACTCAAAAATGCCCAAAAAAGCTTTCAATCGAGTTTTCACTCACTCGAATCCACCCCAAAAATTCAATTTTACTCGGATTTTGAAATTTCTTTCACCATTACGCTCCCAGATGGTTGCTTTCTTCAATCCCATATCAAACTCAATTTTGCTGATTATTATTTCGCAGGCATAATTTGCCTTGTTGATTGCTACAACAATGCTCATTCAGAAATTTAAATTTTAAAAATACTAAAAATTTCGAAAAAATTGAGTTTGATATTGGATTGAAGAAAGAAACTATCTGGGAGTATATTGGTGAAAGAAATTTCAAAATCCGAGTAAAATTGGATTTTTGGCGTGGATTTGAGTGAGTGAAAACTGGAGTGAAAGCGTTTTTTGGGCATTTTTGAGTGGATGTGGCGGGCGTAAATGTGGCCATGGAGTCAAACCAATTCAGGGTTTTAGTACACTCATGGGTCCCTACCATATATCCAAAGGGCATCAAGATCTGTTATTATCAACCTCGCAAGCTCCCTCCTAAGAAAAAGGTGACAGGACGTGCAAAGCACACGTTATTATTTTTAATAAGAAACGTGGTCTTATCTAATAATCACAACTTTCCAGGATAATAAATAATACGAAAAGTAGTTAAATACTTATTCGAGAAAAATAAAGATGCGGACAGGCAGGAAAACGGAGACATAAAAGACAGAATGCTTGGATATCCCTTTCTTAAGAAAGGGACGCTAACCTTGGCCTGTCCTCCTTTCATAAATATTTCTGTCGTTGTCTGAACCTCGTCAAATCAAGAGCCACGTCTCCAAATTAAAAAAAAAGTTCATTTCGTTGAAATAATATTTCTTGCACATATTAATTAGTGCGACAAGATAGTATGTAATGGAATAATTGATAATCGTCTAGTCCTAAATAAGCTATGACATCTTATCTAAGATCGGTAAGCTCAATAAATATTGTAAAGTGAGTGATTTTTTTTATGAATCCAACTGAAATATGAAGGTTTAAATGTTTCGCCTTTATTAAAAGTAATTGAGTTACCAAATTAAACTAATATTGCGATGGTGTGAAGTGTAACAATCAGAATTGATTGACATTTTAAAATTATGTAGCTCAAGTCAATACAAACAATGTTTCTTCAATCATATACAATTTGACTTCTTTCTTTCTTCAATCAGTTTTGACGGTGGTTGGAAACCGTAAAAATATTTGAACACGCGACCGTCGCAGGAAGAAATAGTACATTTGTCAACTTTGACCCAAAGTATTTTAAACTAATTCCAAACATCGCCAAATTCCAAACTGCCTCAGGAAACGTTGGTTGTATTGACCTTGACTACATAATTTTAAAATGTCAACGAATCGGAGTATTACACTTCGCAACATCGTCAAACTTTTGATATAGGTATGTACCTAAGTATGTACATACAGTCAATGGAAAAAGTATTGGCAACCCCCACGCCAGCCAAATAAAATTGGCTGTAACGTTGGAATGCATTATACAATTGGCATGAAAATTTGTACGCCTTTAGAAAATATAATGTAGTTTTCGATTATAGTCATTTGTTATTGATTAAAATTAGATAAACACAGTTTTTAAATAATTTGTTGGAAAATTTGCAAAATTTACCCGCAAAAAGTATTGACAACATGTGGCCAAATTAATTACGCAAAACAATTTTCTTAATCAGCTACCACATTTCATTACGGTAAGTTAATAAGGTGACCAAATATGACGTTAGCGACATTTTAAGTCTACAGTTGTGTTGTCTGGAGCCAAAATGGCGACACCAAACGAGCTGTATTGGCGCCGGGAGAAATAATCATGTCTCTTTCACAAAAAAGCTTTCTTATCGAAAATTCAAAGAGAAAACATACTTTTCCATATTTACTATTGAAAACGTAGCCAAGAAATATAAAATGACAATCTCAGTTTCTACTTTTCCATGGTGCGAAAGGAAAAAGTCACCTACGCCCACGAGCCACTGATGAATCAAGCAAATTATCACTCGAGATCGGAAGACTTCAGCTCCCAAAACCATGTTGAATTTGAGAACCAACTGTGGGGTCAACATATCATGCAATATTGTGATCAATCAAAAATCATGCCATGGGGTTCCAGGGTCCAGAAGCCCGACTGACGCGAGGGTCACCAAAACGAACCAACCCAATAAATTGGAATGGACTAAATACCACCATGAATAGACTTCCAATGAATGAAAAAGGTTCTGCTGGTCTGACATAGGCATATTTTACTTATTCGGAGCCAATTGAATGGTTCAAGTCTGGCGGATGCCATAATAGGCTCACAAAAACGAATATATTCCTATGACAGCTAAACACAGAAGAGGAGCGATTATGGTTTGGGGTTAAATGACTAGGTCGTGGCGTAGGTAGCTGGTCATTATCGATGGAATAATGACCAATGAGGTCCAAATAATCATTCTAAACGATAATTTGATATTATTTAATAAAAATCTGACCTATTAAAGAATTTTATATTCCGAAAATTCAGTGACCCCAAACATGTAGCCAATTTAACGATGCAAGGTTTTGGAGATTGAAAAGGTTAAGATTCTTTCGTTGATTGCACAGTCTCCCGATGTGATTCTGATTGTCCGGATTGAGAAAAGAGGGACTGGTGAGAAACCACTCTTCGAAAAACGAGCTTGTCAAAAGTTCGAAGGAAGTATGGGCAGCCAGATCAAAAAGCGTTATAAAGAAACTTGTTGAATCAATTCCACGACGTATTTTTGCTCGTATTGCGTCGAGGGGAGGTGCTACGTAATACTAGAAGCAGTTTGTCATAATAAAATTGGCGTTTCTTTGATTTACGATTTTTTAAGTTAAGGGTTGCCAATACTTTTTGCGGGTAAATTTTGCAAATTTTCCAGCAAATTATTTAAAAACTGTGTTTATCTAATTTTAATTAATAAATCATGATTATAATCGAAAACTACATTATATTTGCTAAATGGGTACAAATGTTCATGCCAATTGTATGATGCATTCCATGGTTATAGCCAACTTTATTTAGCTGGCGTGGGGGTTGCCAATACTTTTTCCATTGACTGTAAATACATACTAAGTATACATACTAAGTATACATACTAAGTACACATACTAAGTATGTACATAAATACAGATCTGTTAAGTAAAGCCACCTGTTAAATTGACCCAATTTAAGACCCCTTAACACCAAGCATAAAATTTAGACCTTTAGTCCCATAATTTCTTAAACAGAACTTAAACTGTCTAGCCACTCGAAAATTATTAATTATCTTCATAACTTACATATGTAATTAAACTTTCATAATGTGATTACATAAAACTACATATATTACAGGGACGCCAACAACTTACACCAAGTTTCACAGGAAAAAATAAGCATCCTGTATGTAAATCTTCAACTTCCGGCTCTTTAACGTCTTCATTCATTCATATGAAACGCAATCATCATCTTATTTCCATTAGACGGTAATAATATTTTTAATAATTTAAACCAATAATTAATTCTAACTTAAAATTAACATATTTTTCATTGCTCTTCTCAGTTCTCTTGGGGAACATAAAGATGACATCGATCCCAGTGGATCAGCAATCCACTAGGATTTTCCGTCTCATCGCAGTAATCGGTAACCTACCTCAAGACGAGAAGTAAGAATGCTTATCAGGATGCTGCCACACTTCAAGGTCGTTAATTTGAGTAAAGTCACGCTCTTCAGGTCGAATAGCTAACTACTCTATGCAGCTTTAGTTATTTTAGTATATGTACATACCTACTTGTTTATTTTTGCTTCCTAAATTGTACTGTCACATTCTCCATCTACATTTTACAAAATCGCATTAATCTGAGCTTCAGAAATCTCACTTCACAGATATATAAACAAAGATAAGTATTTAGGAATACGAACTTCATACATATGTAGGCTTCATTCATAAAATTTATCAGGAATTCAGAATTTGGTTCCAGTATCCAACGCCCTAAGCATTACAACTAGATAAGTATGTACACTAAAAAAATCGTCAAAAAATTACTCCATTTTGTAGCGTAGCAATTTGCATAATTTTGTCAGTTCTCTATTGTTACGTAGCAGATTCTTATTATAAGTTTACGGGCGGATTGAATTAAGTGCAATAAACTTAAAAACGAACTAGAAGTACAAGAAGTTTAGTCCGATTTACCAGAGGATTACAACTGCTGCAATTTATTTCCCCAGGCTCAAATATTGTCTGGTTTTTGTTGTAGGATTGTCAAGTGGGGAAGAAGTTGGAAATTTTGTGGGGTAAGGTTTGCAGTATGGTGGTGCACTTTTTTCTGGAGTCGGCGGCACGGGATTTTTTATGGGTGAAAATATGCTGGGGCGGAATGAGAGAGATAGGATAATTGTGCTGATTTTGCTGTGGTCAAGGGAATTGATTGAAGGATGCTTTGGGAGATCTGGAAATGGGTTGACAGGAAAAGGTTTCTTGACTTTGTAGTTTATTTTAGAAAGTTGTATAATTTTTGCAACTAGTCAGCATCGAGGAATTCCAAGCTTTATAACCCATTCGAAAGTATGTTGAAAACTTGCCGTCGTAAAGTTAAAAAGAGGGTGTTTTTTTTGTCTCTACTTACTTGCTGCTGTCGCTGGTCCTTTCTTAGTCGCCTAATTGATGCTCTTTGTTTACCGACTGAAATTAAATGATGCCTCCCTCTATAGTAAGTATGGGAAAGAATACAGTTTTATTGGATTCGTTGTAATAGTGTTAGAGAAGTAAGTGGATAAGCAGGACTTGCATTTATGTCTACTAAAATATTCTCATTTTGAGTAGGAGGGCAAACATTAGGATTACTTTAATTTAATCATACTGTTCTGGATTCATGTTACTGTCAATTACTATTTCAGAATTAAATTTTTGAAGCATAATGCTATAGAAATAGGGTCCAGTTATGTTGTCCTTTCGCGGTATGGAAAAACGCATACCAATTGAAAAACGGAAGAAATCTATCAAAGTGGCTTAGTGCATCTCCATTTGTTGTAGCACGATAGCGGCGATCTCGAAGTAGGCACTACAATTGGCTGTCCTGATTCTGCTAGCGCACGCACTAATTCCAAAGACAATTGCTGAGCTCGACAGATATCGCGGTGCACTGTTTGAGGGTAAAGTTGTCCTTTATTGTTTGATACAGGTATTGAAATTCCGAGTTAACCTGGACGTCTGGTTTTATTCGTTGGATATTTGAAATATCAGATAAATTATCAAAGTTTTCGATTGATTGTACATCCTGTTTCCATTTTAAGTTAGCTCTTTAGTTTTGGACACCTTGGGGTCAAAGTCATCTTTGTCGGGGCTGAGATAATTCCTTGCCTTGAATATCCAATATTTAAATTACACATTGGCTGGGTTGTCATATGGGTTGTATTCAGTTGGTCTCCAGAGTAGAATTGAATCATCAGAATGACATATACCAGTTTTATACATATACCAGTTAATCTTGACGGGCTTATAATTGTTATGTCAATATTATTCACGGAAATTTTTAGTTGCACATAAGAATAATACGTCAATTCCTTAACAATAGTTTTAGGCCACGAATACTCTACGTCATCTGGTAGTTCTGTTTTAAAGAATTCTTCAGTGTATTCTACTATTTTTTCATTAATTAGAGGGGTTTGCTTCCAACCCATTAGACCACACTCCGCTTCACTTACATCTTCTCTTTTAGTTTCTCTATCAGATGAGTAGGAGCCCGGAAATAAATAAGATTTGCGAACTCTTGTGATTATCTTGAGGCACTCATAAGCATTTAGGGAGTCTTGAGTTATTGATGTTCGCCAGAAAGTTATTTGATGCAGGTTTGAGCTAGCTGTATCTTTAATCAGTGACCAATCGATCGAAGGAGGAATTTTCCAAAGAACTCCTGATGAGTAGCCTTTACATATGCAGCAAGGCGTTGATTTCTTATCGAGCGTCCGAAAAAGGTGGTGGATTGTGGATGAGATCGAGTTTTCCTGTGAGTTTGCAGGGACTTCGGTGGGATTGAGGAGGACTATAATTAGGAGGACGAAGGAAAACAGTATAACTGCTGCCATGCTGGCTTTTTCTTACTACGGTTAGATTTCCTAGTATTTTCTACATTGTGAAAAATGTCATCATCACCTTCGTCTGATTTCGAATCGGTTAAAAATTGTTGTTGGGGATAACATAATATAAAGTCCCTCTTTAAAATATTCACATGTTGCAATATTTCAGCCAATAAGGTTTGTAAGTTTGGAATGAAATTTACCAAATTTAAATAAAAATTGCAAGCAACTTTCTCCAAAAAGCCATATATTTGGAAAGCGATTAGTAATATGAATAATAAAGTTGAAAGTGTCCATATTTATTGGGTTTCCGCGTGCTGAAGTAGTTATTCTATATGGGTCCTTGTACTTGTTTAAAGTCATTTGTCCAAATTCAGTGGAATATGAAAATTAATTAATTATTATGTACACCGGCTAAAATTGCAAGTCTAATTTTATTTTGAATTAAGTATTTTAACCAACTTGCTGATACTGTTTTAGGAATTTTAAATGTATTTCTGAAATAAAATGAAATATGGTCATCAGGTGGTCTTCAGAAAATTGTACTACTGAGCCAAAGATTAGATTTGATACACCTAATTTTTCTAAGAATTCCTTTGAAGAGACAGTATATTTGGTCCTCATCTACGATATTACTGTGAGTGATTACTCTTATTCGGTTTATGTGTGTCTTAACAATTCTCTCCTAAGACAAATCTTGAACTTCATAAGTTAGTAAAATTCATGTGTTTGTTTAAGGATTTTGTATCTGCTATGAAAAATAGATTCTAGCTTGTTTGACTGGCCATGGCCATCTTTTTGGGATATTTTTATTTCTCAACGTCCCCTTCTTTATAATTTTCAAGTTTATGCCACAAGTCTTCCGCATCCTTAAATGTCAGTTGCTCCTATTCAATTGTAGTTTTTATGCTACTCTATAATTTCGTAAACTCTGGTAGGTCGGCTGCCGACCTACTGTCGTAGTCATACTGTGAACTCTGGCTAATTTAGCGATTGGTTTAGATGCCAAATAAACGCATGAGAAAAATGGGTGTAAAAATGTCTCTTTTTCTTGCACAAAAACGTGTTATGTAAGTAAACGGAGGCAGTTTGGGATTTCTTGGCGTTGGTTAGGTCGACGTAAGTTTATTTCCACACATTCAAATCTCCATTTACTTGTACAAAATGTCCTCTCTGTTGGACAACCCAAAACAGAATATTCATAATTTGAACCTTTTGTTCATCCACACATACATGCCTAGACATACATACAGTATGTAACTTATTTAATGCTACGATTTTTAATTTCAAATTCAACTTCAATTTTCCCAAGAACAGGTTGATATTTCAAAATTGTTTTCATACCAATTCTTCACCATATATTGGACTACATTGAGGCAAATTTTCAGAGGGATGGAGATAAAACTGTAGAATACACAAATATTTTAATGTCAAAATATTGCGAATTGCACGTTACATAATTAATGCTACGATACACAACCGGTACAAATTTGCAGTCTTTCCTAAATACAGAGCAGAATTTCGAACGGATAAACAATTCTATAGTATTTCTGCTACAAATGAAAATAATCTGCCGAATTAAAATAAATAAATAACAAAGGACACCGTTATCAGTATCAAAATATTGGGAAAGTGACCTCCCTCCATTAATAACGCCTAACTTTAAGGAAACTTTGGAAACAATTTAAAATGCACTCAGGATCTGTTCAAAGGCTCACCTGAGAAAGGAAAACTACAGGACCTGTAGCGAATTGCAACCGTCAGGGTCGTAAACCCAGTAAAACACAACACGCGCACGCGACGATTGTAAAAACACACCATACACCTTAGCGAATAATCACAAGAAACGCTTTGCGTGGGCAATGTAAAGAGAAGATGATCCCATGGCTATTGGAAACAATTTTTGTTCTCAGACTAGACCCTAATTCAACTTTTTAGCTCAGATGGAACGATAAGAGTGCGGAAAGAGCCCAAATAAGTCTTAAGAAATTGATTTCTGAGACAAGCTATCAAACATAGCAGAGATAAGGAAATCTAGGCTATTTGTACCGCCAAATCCTGATGTGAAACTTTCGAAATCTTGCAGGGAGATAATGTATTGGGGCAGTTTATGTTGCCTCAGGGTAGTAACATTGACGTGCGTCGCTGGGATCATGACCAAAGAGGTTTACCTTGATTTGTTAGAAATAAATATTGGCCAATTCGCAACAAAGACAGACTTTGGTCAGAGATTTATTCTCAGAAACGTCAGATATTAGACAAATATTACAAAAATCATCTCAAAATGCATCAAGGACAATGATACAAAGGTTTTGCACTGAATTTCAAATTTCTTGACCTCAAGTCGATCTACTATAACCCAAAAATTCTGCAACGTCTGGTGACAACACTAAAGCTAACAAACACGGCTCCCCGGCACACCCGTCATCACAGAAAAGTTAACAAACATCGACCATAGCGTAACCGAAGGGTTGGTGGATTAGATGCCCAAACGATTTCAATCAGTTATTGGGGTCTGACGAAATATTGAACCGCTCATACCCCCGTAGCATTAATTATGTAACGTGCAATTCGCAATATTTTGATATTAAAATATTTGTGGATTCAACAGTTTTATCTACATTCCTTTGAAAATTTGCCTCAATGTAGTCCTATATATGGTGAAGAATTGGTATGAAAACAATTTTGAAATATCAACCTGTTCTTGGGAAAATTGAAGTTGAATTTGAAATTAAAAATCGTAGCATTAAATAAGTTACATACTGTACATCCATAAAATCCTAATTATACGTGCAACGTTGTTGCTCTCCATCCGGTGTGGGAAGGGTCATCGGGCCAAAGTCATAAAAGTTGACTTCTCACCCGAATTTGACGCCTCGGACTAGGATTGACATATCTATTAAATATCTGTTGCATGAATGCATCTTTGTTCAGTCGAGCTCGCTTACAATACGAACAAACGGGTTGTTATACGTATACGACTTTATAAGGGCTAGTTTTTGAAGTCGTTGTAGGGTTAAAATTTTATTAGAGTTCCACTTGGTTGACTCTGTAACCCAAAAGGTCATGGCCCTCAGAACTAGGTAAATGGT